AGGAAACTCATGCAACAGAAATCAGAGATTTTTAGCAACCATAATGAAACCTTCAACAATTATACTGCATGTCCTTCATGGTGCAATTCTTTTAAGACAAAGAAAAATGCAAAAGATAGGTTTTCTGGGTTTTAAATAAATTCACTACTTAGTTCATTTTCAACAGAGCAATTAAGATGTGTTAGTGTCTACTCAGACTTTATCCTTATGAGTAATAAGTATTTTAGAAGCAAATTCTACTTCTCATTTTTTTCCTTTCTTTTTTTTTTTTTTTGGTCTCCTCAATAATTTTAGAAATCAGTTCAAATTACCAAAACTGGCTGCCTCATGGTTCTTAGTATAACAAATGTTATTGCTGTAATTCTCAAAAGCAGGTATCATGCTGACTTGAATTCTAATTAGCCTCTAAGCAAGACTGGCTAATGCATTCTGTGTCAAGACACATTAATCAACATTTTGGGGCATGTTTTTAGCACCCAGGCTAATCAGCACATATTTTTCAAACACCATTGCACTATTTTTGGGGACAATGAAAATCAGATCTGCTCAGGAACAAAAAAATATCACAGAAAACATGGCTTGGTCTAGAGAGAGTTTTTAGACAGGTTAAGAAAATGATGTATTTTACTTCTTAATTGACAATAGCTTATAAAATATGACAAATAGTAATAAATGAAAAACCAGATATTTTTCTGCGAGCAAGAACTAATCAGTTAGGACTTTCTGGCTACCATTTTGCCTAACAGATGAAATGCTCTAGAAGTCTATCTGGAAACATCTGGCAAGCCATTTCTGTGAAAATGAAACTGCCTCTTTCTTTCTTCCTTCCTTCCTCTCTTCATTGGACTAACATCTCCTGCTTAGTATTTGTTGGTTCTTCTCACCTTTATGAATGGTGTCCCAGTGACCACTCATCAGGAAGAGTGGGACTGTCTGAAATATTCCCCTGCTGTTTTTAGAATGTCAGTTAAGATTCTATTATGGAATCCTAAGACTTAATGAAATCTTCAGCAGTCATTAGATTTCAGAAAAGCCATGTTCCTAGACGTTTCCCGGCCTTGCTTTGTGTTTTTATAATACAGAAGGGCAGTTGTCGCTGCTTTCATGGTTGGTAGACAGGACTGTTGTGGTTAATGTGGCTCCGTGGTCTGTTTGCTCTTGAACTTTTATCCAGAAGACTTCCCATTTAAGTTGCTGTTACAGGGAGATATTTGGGTTGGGTGCTTTTGGCGGGTGGATAGGTACTGGCAGATGAGTTGAGAAAACTGACTTCAATCCAAAACATCTCTTATTCAAAATTAAACTGGATACATTTTGCTCAATGTTAGTTAAATTGAGTGTCCTATGAAGTAAAACTGAATTTTGACAAATAAGACCAGAAAAAAATGTAAGAAAGATAACATTGGTATGTAAAGGGTTTTTTCCCCCTAACATCTCTTTAATGTCTGGCTTGAAAGACTACAGCCGGATTCTCATCTACTCTTCTCCATTCTGTTTCTCAATTTGTTGTTCTGGGTGAAGACTTTTACACATCTCAGATAGGTAATTGGACAAGGAAAGGTTATTTTAACAACTGAATCAGATCGAGTTGCTGGTGTTCTTTGCTGTAACTCCCAAGCTCCGTGAGTGGCTCTGTCTTAAACAGTAGACTCCAAAGAGACTCTGAAGCCACATCTGAATTGTTCACACTCAGACACTGAAGGGCAAGAGCAAGCAGTGTCTTTGCATATTGTGAAACCATCCAACTTTTGAGCCCCCTTCAGCAGTCTGAGAGAGCCAGGGTTTCCCCAAACACTTTCAAAACCCCTAGGATAAGGTCGGGAGACAAGTAAGCTTAAAAAGCTTAAGAAGGTGGTGGCGCATGCCTTTAATCCCAGCTCTCAGGAGGCAGAGGCAGGTGGATCTCTGATTTACAAAGTGAGTCCAGGACAGACGGGGCTGTGCAGTGATACCCTGTCTTGAAAGGCAGGCAGGAAGGAAGTGAGGGAGGGAGGGAAGGATGAGAAGGAAGGAGGGAGGAAGGAAAAAAAGAAAAGAAATGTCCTGTCTATATCAGCAGTAGTTTCTGAAGTCTGAGAGAGAAGAGACCAATAAGTATCCCCACCCCATCCCACCACGAGATGGGGAATGGAGCCATGGCCCTGTAGGGACTGAGCACCCTCAGAAGGAGTCGACACAAACCTGCTATCCTAGAGCTAGATCTGCCGGGCTTTGCTTTGAATCCATTGGGATATGAAGTGTGTCAAGTTGTACAAATGTGACTGCTACTTTCTTGGAGTGATCATGAGCAACTAATCACACTAAAAGCCTTTCAAATCATACAAGAGTAACAGTACTAAAATAAGCGAGACTATCAAATCTGCTCTGATTTTATCTCTCTCTCTCTTTTTTTTTTTTTTTTTTTTTTGAGACAGTGTTTCTTTGTGTAGCTTTGTGCCTTTCCTGGAACTCACTTGGTAGCCCAGGCTGGCCTTGAACTCACAGAGATCCGCCTGCCTCTGCCTCCCGAGTGCTGGGATTAAAGGCGTACGCCACCACCGCCTGGCTCTGATTTTATCTCTTAAAATTAAGTAATTTTACCCTGAAAGGTCTATTAAAGGAAATTTAATGTGTCTTTAAAAGGAAGAAAAAATTCCTTTATCTAGCTGCTGAGATAACAGAGCCTTATTTATTTGTGAATGATGCAACTGCATGCTTGTTTTTTTGTAAACTAAACACTAACTCAAATAAGGAATGTGTTTCTGCGATTTCCACCCTTTCTTCTTTTTATTAGTATGCTTTAATGAAGCTTACACTCGATGGGCTAAAGATATCGTTTTATTTTTGCTTAAAAATGTGTAAAGAGTTCAAGTTGACAAGCAAATATTCAACCTCTACATTACTATTTCAGGATATCCTTATTGACCAATGACTTTAATGTTCATTCCAGAATTGCTCTTGAAAGTGGGAAGAAGATACCTGTTCGTGCTAAATATTACTTTATTAGAAAAAATATTTTATTTATAAATAAATGTCCCTTATAGTATTTTGTTTATAAAATAACAAATCAAATTATTTTGCTAAAGGTGGAATTACTCACAAATGATTTCTCTGAGTTGAGTTCAGGTTTTTATTTTGAAATATTAAGAGGTATGGCATATTTACCAGGTTTTTCCTTCCTGGAGGTGGTAAACTGTGGTGCCAAGTAGAATGACAATTATAGGAAATAACCTTACCATCCACCTCAGTTCCAAGGCCCAAGCCCCCCACCTTTCTACCCTCTGAGTGCCCACGTCAGAATAAATCGTTGAGCAGTGTGTCACCCGAAATGTTTTATGGTGACTACATCCTTCGGTTCCCAATACCCAACATCTAACTTTCATATGACATGTTTGAAAATTTCATTCATTTGAAACATAGATGCAGACATTTTAACACACCTTGCGGAACAACCCCCTATGCTTTCCTGCTTAATTCCAAGGACCAGGAAACAGGTTCAGCAACAGCTGACTTAGAGGAAAATCATCTGAACTGATCATTCTTCCAGAAATAGTCCAAGCATGAATAAAACAGGAAATATGAAAACAGGACCCTTGTGGGACATGCTTTAAATTTTTGGTTATGTATTTTATATTTTAAACCGTTAGACTCTTAATGTTTTGCTTCCCTTGACTAATTAAAAAGAAAATAAAACATTATTAATATCAAGCCAGTGTAAACACTGGTTCAGGTATTCTTTTTGCCACCAAATATGTAGTTGTAGTTCCTTTTCTAACACCAGGTCTCCAATTTTCTGATTCAGACACCCACTGAATTTGGTCTGATGCTGCCCTGGTTAGCCTCAGATGTCACAGGTCTCAGGACCAACCCTGGAAGATTAACTTCATTTCAGTTGCATGTAGCAAATTCCCAGGCTACTTGGATTATCTGCACTTTTTCTGATGTGGCTATGGATTTAGGCCTTTTGGGGACACCCATTTTAAGAATGTGACTAGAATGAGTCACAGTTCAGGAAGATGTGGGGCTGTGCTTGCCCTTAGAGTTTATAACAAAGGCTGAAAAAGGACGGCCCACTGAATGGGACAATGTCTAGAAGAGTGCTGGCCACAATAGCCCCTGACCTGTGGGTCTGAATGCTCTACCCTCCTGGCATGTAACTGTCTGCTGACTTGGAAAGTCTACACTGGCCCTGTCGTTTAGGGGTTTCTATGGGGCTTCCACTGGATGATTGATGAAATCACTACCCTCTGTGATTGAACTCAAACTCCAGCCATTCTCCCCTTCTCATAGGTTAAGACACATAATGGAAAATTCCAGCCTTCTAGCCATCAGATTGGTTCCTTATACTTTGACACTATCTAGGAGGCTCACTTAGAGTCTCCTGCTTGTATCAATTCATGTGTAGTTGGAAGGTACTAGTTACAAGCAGCAAAAGATGTCATTCACCATTCCTGTAGCCCAGAGGAATCTGAGGCTTAGAAGATCTATGCCAAGACCTGGGTACCATTTATTATAACACGGATGAATTTCCTCCAGGTAGTAGAGATGATGTTTGAGAGATATGGCAAGAAAAGGGACTTTTCCTTTCATGCTGCACATTACTAAATCTTTTCCCTGATCATATTCATTGTATCAGTTATGTATTGCTGCCTACCACTTTACCCTAGAAAGCAATTGCTGGAAACTGTTGGCTTATAGTCCTGAAAGAGAGGAATTCAAGCAGAGCATGGCAGATGCCTCTGCCTCTGAGTCCCTGAACAGACTGCAGTGAGACAGGCATCCAGGACTGTGATCTCTTTAGAATAATTTAGAAATTATTATAAAGACATTTATCCAATGGCCTTGTCACTTTCTAAAGCGTCTCTGGAGCTCTGCTTAGAGTCTTCATTGATGATCATCTTATAGTAAGTAGTTTGATCTCAGCCAGAACACTTGTTCACAATCAAGGAAGTAAACTCACAGTGGGAAGAACTGAGTGTGCTGTCAGACGAATAATGCCTCGTGTGCCCATCTTTTTTAAGGGAGAACCAGGCTTCATTGGTCCTCAAGGAGAGCCCGGCTTACCAGGGTTACCAGGAACAAAAGTAAGTAGACCTTTATTTCCCCTTGCGTTCCTGTGAAATTTGTGTCATCTCTGCTGAAAGAAAGGTGGGAGGACTCTACTGTTTAGAAAGCCACATATTTCTGCCTTAGAACCTAGGCAGCCTGATCCTCCTGTTAATGGCATGCAGGCGGAAGTTATATGTAGGAAGCAGGTGGGTGACTTACAGTAGTAGTTCGAGTTTGCCCTCCGGATTTCTCAATAAGTGTGATGTCACTGGCCTCCCGGCGACATGGAAAGGTAGTAGAGAGAGAGGAGGGCTGGAACTCACCAACCCCTGCTCTTCCTCATCCATTTTAGGATACACGTGTAAATTGGACATTAATCCCATCCCCATGGATGTCACAGAGATTTCTAAATACTTCACTCCAAAGATATCTACTCTGAATGATGTTTGTAGAAGTATTCTATAATGAAAGCCATCTCTTAGTGTTCTATTTGGCAACCTTAAAGAGGACCCTGAAAGCAAATGCTATATGCTGCCATGCAAAAAGAATACAGAGCTACAGACAGAGTCGAGTCTGTCTTTGTCCGCCCAGTAAGACATGAAAAGATAGGAATCTGATGATGGAGTTGTGCTCATGACAGACTCAGGAATCAAAGGTGCAAAGTGGCATCAACTCATATTCGCTCATTTTTAAACCATGACAGACTCTGCCTGGTGAGTTCTGAGTTCACCAGAAATAGGCCAGGCATAATTCCCAATAGTTAGAGAAATACGTCATGGTCTATTCAGACAGACTAGTCCTCCTTTCTGCTTTGGTCAAGTGAAATGAACTCTAATCCTAGCAAGTGGAAACTATTCATTGCCTAAGGGGACTGGAACGCCTCGTAGGATTATGCAAAACTGTTTTCAAAAGAAATCCCATTTTCACACCATGAGCTATCAGGCCCATTAAAGAAATTCTGTGTTAGCCTGAACAGATCCACACAAGAGGGACCTTTCTGAGCGGGAAAGACAGAGACAGAGAGGAAATAAATTGTCTGCTGATATGAGAGCTGTTAGATTGATTGAACATAAAGCCTTAAAGCCAGGAGAGAGGAAAAGGTGGCCAGGTGAAGGAGCGCATCCACTATCACAGGGGGAGAGGAGTCCCAGCAGGCGAAGCCCTTGGGAACTGCTTCTAGAAGGTTTTTCTAGACAGGGAAAGGTAGAAGAGACCCACCTGGTAGAACTAGTCATCCCTAAATACTTTTTAATAGGAAACTGCTTAACTATTCCATAGTTTCAGAGAGAGAGAGAGAGCCATACATAGAGCCACAAAGTGGGCAGTAATTGCTGTTATGAAGGCCTCAACATGACTCTGAAGGACGAAGGCTTTACTCTGTACCTCTAGGAGAGGGAAGGGCTGTGATGCACCCGTGTGGCATTTCTGCAAGCAAGTATGTGCCTAGAAAGTCATGTTTTAGCAACACTCCACACTTAAATGTTAGCTGGGTTGCCTATCTCAACAACAGCTGTGTCCTAAAGGGAGATTTCCAATTTGAAAATCTATTTTGAGCCAACAATGGATTTTACCATTTTTATGGACGGTCTGGGTTTGTACCCCTATCAACAGATCTGAAAAATAAACAAAATGGTGTGTCTTCCTCGGAGGGCAGTGAAGACATATCCTAAGGACAAGAGACTAATGGCATCTAGATATCTGTAGTGAGGATGGTGTGTCCGAAGAGCCTGTCCCAATGCCTTTGTCAGAGCTACGTCTGCCTAGAAAAATTCAATTTCAGTCCGAGTACAAAAAAAAAACCAAAAAACAGGATATCAGAGCATAAAGCATGGGACTTCACCACTATGCTATACATTTTGCTGGAATTCCTTAATATTTGCTACATAATGTGAATAGATGTCCATTCAATAATAATAATAATAATAATAATAATAATAATAATAATAATAATGAGAAGAGGAAGAAGTAGAAGTAGAAGGGGCCATACTGACACCCTTTAAAAGTCTTTACATTTATATACATAGCCACCTAATGGACATTTACTAAACTCTTTCTGTATTTATAAAATGGGGATTATAGGGCAAAATTACATATTTATGTATTACCCAGGGTATTCTAGAGACACAGAACCAACATCAATGAGCAAATGGGTGGGTGAGTCAGTGGTTAGGTAGGTAAATATGTATGTATATACATGTATGCATGTATATACATATATGTATATACATGGCTAAGAAAGGGGTTTATTAGGAGAACTGCTCATGTGATTACAGAGGCAAAGAGGTCCCACAGAAGCCAGCTATCTACAAGTAGAAGGATGCTAGTAACATGGCACTGTCCAGGTCTGAAGGTTTCAGAATCGTGGAAGCTGGCACTGAAACTCCTGGGCGGAGTTAAAGGTCTGAGATGCAGTGCCTGGCACTAGTCTGTCGTCAAGGCAGAGACTGTGGTATCATGAGCAGGTGCTCAAGAGGGACAGAGACAGCTTGCCTGTCCTCTGCCTTTTGTTCTAACCATCCCCAAGCCAAGTTGGCAACAACCACATATTTTAAGGGCAAACCTTCCACTCTCGGTCCACTGACCAATGTGCAAGCTCCTCTGAAAACACCTTGTTGAGAACAACCAGAATGCTTCAGCAGCTCCATAGATGTTCCTTAACACAGCCAAGGTGGCACCAACAATTAACAATCTCAGATTGTTTTGTGTAGGAAATGGGATCATTCATGTTCAGGCATTAACACAGGGCCAGCATGCTGTAGATGAGTAATGGTGCTCTGTTTACCTCGGTTTGATCGAACTCCCATATTCCCCTCCAGGGAACAGCCATGGGGAGGCTGCTATTTACCTGTTTTGTAATTTATTACAGGGTGAACGTGGAGAAGCAGGGCCTCCTGGGAGAGGTGAACGAGGGGATCCTGGAGCCCCAGGCCCAAAGGTCAGTTATTGTGACACTGGAAGAGAGCATCCTTTAGTTAGGGAGTGCATGCCTCTTGCTGTGGAATATACAACTAACTCTTCAACAGATACTAAAACGACCCAAATCACAAACACCTCATTGAACTGTACACTGATGGGTAGCGATTTTTACAGTCTGACTTTCCTTGTTTATTTACTCTGTGCAGCCCAGTGAAGTAATTTAATAACATATCTGAATGTAAAGGAGAGGTGCTGTCATGTTACCCATTATTGCTAAATGTGTGTTACAGCTGGCTGAGAAAAACCTCATTGCCAAGTGCCCTGTTTCCATGGTAACTTGATGGCGTGTAATACCTTGAAAATATTAGAACTAAGGATTTATTTGCCTGTGCAGCCTCTGTTTACCTAAACATTATGCAAACTAACGTGGTCATACTCTATTCTACTAACCCGCCCCTCTTGGAGACAGGGGTGATGTAATCTCTGATGAAAAAGAGAGCTGAGCACAGAAGCACTGTGGAGACTCATAAGAGCCACTTACAGAGCTCCCTCCAGCCACTGATGGAAAACAGTCCTCAGAGTCATAATGAGATAGAGGCTGGCGGAGACCAGAGAGTGAGCTCCCGCTACAGCCATGTGTATCCTCTGTGTTCTAGTAACCGACACTTTATCTATCGCACTGTGTGGGGCTGTTAAGATACAGTGTGTCCAAGATACAGTGTGTCCTGTGATCCTCTTTATCCTGAGCCTCTGTTCTGATCTTCCCTGTCATTCTTTTTCTCATCTGCATACTCTCTCACACTAGGGGAAACAAGGTGAATCAGGAGCTAGAGGCCCAAAGGGGTCAAAGGTCAGTAACCAATAACCATTTTGTTGTGACTTCAGGCCGTCAAGATATGTGTCCTTTGCCTTTTCCACAAAGAGTCCTGTTATAGATGAAACTTTTCCTTCAGTGCTTACATTTGGTTTGTCCCTGTGATGATATCACAAGACACTGGCTTAGTTTTCCTTGTTTTTGTCTGCTCTTATCCTTCAGATTATTCTTTTTATAACATTGTGTGTGTGTGTGTGTGTGTGTGTGTGTGTGTGTGGTGTTATGGTGTATGCATGTGGGTATATGTGCATGTGTGTATGTGTGCATGTGTGTGTCATGCTGTGTTTCACAACACACATGTGGAGGTCAGAGGATAATTTGTGGGAGTTGATTCTCTCTGTCCACCATTTGGGATCGAGAGATGGAACTCAGTTGTCAGGCTTGGTGGCAGGTCCCTGTACCTGCTGAGTCATTTGCCAGCCACCCTCAGACTATTCTTTCAGAGATGGTGTGTGTCCTGTTTCTTGAAATTAGCTTCTTTGGGAAAAGAGACCGGAAATGAAAAGTAAGAGCATACAATGCATAAACTATCTTTATTGACAAATGTTCATGTCATACTTTGGTTTGTTACATAACTCTACTCTGAGAGTTAGAACATCACCCCAGGACTAGAACATGGCTCAGTGAGCAGAACTGGGGGTTTGAGTTTGGATCCCCAGAACCCAGAAAATAACTCAAACGTCTGTAATCCCTGCACCCCTGCGAGAAGATAGGAGGAAGGACGAGGGACTCCCCAGCAGCTAGCCTGGCTTACACAGTGGAAACCACCTAAGAGACCCTGAAACAGCGTGTATTCTGTCACTTACAATGTCACGAGCTAATACCATGGAAAAGTACAAAACAGACTAGAGATCAGAGGCTGTTAATTCCCTCTCCATGGTGAAGTTAATTATCATGGCCCGTGTTACTAGTATAACCTGCATGGGAAACATTACAGCCCCTCTTTCTCTTTGTCTTCATTGGTCCTTATCCGTTTATGTAAATTTGTAGGAAAACAGAAAGATGCTTTGAGTTCTGTATAAAGGGGGCTCTAGTTTTAAAGAACCTTTAGCTATACACAGATTTACATGTTTTCTACTACTTGCATTTTGGACTTTTGATCATTTGGGGAGTATACTCTATTCTTGGTGTCTCTGTAGGTGGGGTTATGACACTGTAAATAAAAGAGATGATTTCATATTGCTTTGAAATAGAAATGGGGAGGAGGCAAGAAGGACAAGTCAGAGAGGAGAAGGAGAAGGGGAGAGATGAGATAAAGGAAGTCTGGCCAGCCTGGTCTAGCTGGCTGCTGTCAACTTCAGTGGAGTGTTAAAATAGCTACAGGTAGCTAATTATCATCAGAGGGAGGTCTAGCCTCTGACTGGATGTTCCCATTCTCCCTAGCATGAGCTCTCCATTCCTTCCTGTGCCAGTTTTCTCTACTTCTCTTCTGTGAGGACAGATGCCACAGTGGCTTGGCCCTTTTCCCTTTGTTCAAATCCCTTCAAAGGAAAACAACCCTGCTCAGTCTGAAGATAAAGGTTACTTTGGGTACCATAGAAATCACTTACTTTGCTTTTGCAAACCCTAGCCAGAGCGTACTGTCTGATTTTTCCAAGATACCCTGTTCCTGAGGAGGACGTTTAACTACCCACTGATGGCATCTTTAGGAGGCATAGAGTGGTGATGGCAGTTGCTTCATATGTTTGCAGTTCAGGTTTAAAGTGCTGCTGTATGGTACAAGTGACTCGTTAAATGTGACAGATTTCTTCATCGATGGCCCTGCTGCTAACTTGTTATTTTCTTTTTTCATGGGCAAAGGGTGATCATGGAGATAAAGGAGACTCTGGAGCTCTGGGACCACGGGTGAGCATTCCTCTTGTCTAAACTCAGATTTGAGGTCATGTTGGTGTGACTGTACAAGGCATCTGAATGGACAGTATACAATCAAAGCCATTAGTGGTAGACTGGGATTCTTCCCACTGCTAGCCGCCTCCTTGCTCTTTATTTTGTTATCCAAGATCAGGTCATGTAGAGATTCTTACCATATAATAAACTTTATTCTGGAAAAAAAGTAGTATGAAGCCCATAGCTGTTAAGGTAACAGTCCATATATTTATACTCTTTAGAAAAGTCAAAAAACTAGAACACAGGTCATAGAAATTATGCAACAGATATAATGAGTAAGATAAAAGTCTAGACTATGTAGAGAGAGATGTGTGTGTTCTAGTAATCTTGATTGGGGGATGTGTATTTGTGGGTGTATAATATTCTTGTCTTCCATTCCCTCTAGTTTTGGATAAGTTGGGGCATATGGGATAAGATTCTTATTGGGGATGCCAAGTATTTCCTACAGAACATTGTTCATCTTTGCTCTCTCTTCTTAGGGAATGAGGAAGCAACCTATGGTACACAGATGAGCAGAAAGAGGTTAGGGTTGCCTTAACAAATACAAAGAAGTCAATAGTATTTTGCAAGACACAAAGATTAACGTGTGTGTTTGGAGCCAGCTTCACATCTACCACAGACAGAAAGTTAGAAGTGGCCATCTCCTTTACAATATGCAAAACATTTAAACATAATTCTGAAATGCACTTGCGTCATAGTAAGGAGATAACAGTCAGGGAGAACTCGAGCAACTCGACCCTTGCCGCCATCTTGTAGACTAGTCATCTAACACTCACGACTTTGCCTTGGTCTGTTTTTTGTCACAGGGTCCACCTGGGCAGAAGGGAGATCCAGGAGCTACTGAGATCATAGACTACAATGGCAACCTCCACGAGGCCTTACAGGCAAGTGACCATTTTCTGCCCTAGGGCACATGGAGAATGACACACACAGATAAGTGTATCGGTCTTCTGTGACTGTGATAAAATACCAGGAGCAAAAGCAACTTAGAGAAGAAAAGAGTTTATTTTATCTTATGGTTTCAAAATGCTGGAGTTCACAATGACATCAAGGCATGGCATCAGGAGCAGGAAGCTGAGCGCTCACATCCGCAGTTGTAAACATGAAGTAGAGAGCTAACTGGATGTGGAGTGAGGTGATGAATTCTCAAAGCCTGGCCAGTGATGTCCTCCCTCCAGCAAGGCTGCAGCGCCTCCCCACACAGAATCACCAGCTGGAGACTAAGTGTGCAAACTCCCGAGCCTGGGGGACACTCTGATTCACACCACCACAATGGGTCCCTGTCACTCAGCGGGATGAATTCTCTTCACCATTCACATGAAGCACGCCTATCTGCTTCGCTTCTGAGCCTTCCTGTCTCCGGCCCCAGGAGGCTTTAATTTATAGCATTTTAAATTCCTGATTCTTTGTTTCCCTTATACTTTCCTAAACCTTATCAAGTATAAACATGGTGTTAGTTAAGGCAAATTTTTGCTTCCTTGCTCTTTAGGGAATTTTACAAAGCTGAGCAGGAACTGCTTGAGTTCAGATTTCAATTGTCTTCTTTAGAGCTGTGACCTGGCCAGTTCTTTCACTTCATTGTACCTCTATTTCTCTATATTTGAAATAAGGATGCTAGCAGTATCTATCTCAGTGGGTTGTTGATAGCAAATGACTAAGGATATGACATATACTTTGCACAGACAAGTCCTTGGTGCATACTGACCTCCTATGTGTTTTTGTTTCAGTTTGTTTCTTTTCAGTGAAAAGTAGTTCACAAAATAGTGCACGTGGCTTGCTCTACCACCCTTGCTTCTTGGTCATCCTTTCCATGTTTACACATATGCGTTATAGTATCTATCGTCACCCAGTGGTGACCTGCAGAGCAAGTCCATAATAACCGTCACCCTGGACTTTCCTGTGACATTTATACCAAATCACCTTCCTTCCAAAAATCTTCGTGCTTCATCTGGCCTTCTGCTTTCGTCTCCTCCATTCTTTCCCTCTAGTGAAGCCGCTATTTAGGTATTCCACATCTTCCATCCATCCTAACTTCTTTGCTAGCCTGAAGTCTCTGACCTTTCCTTAGGCAGATCAGTTGCTCTCTCTGGGTTGTGGCAAGTGGTTTCCTGACAGTTCGGCCATTTCTGGGGTCTAGCCTGTGTACAGCTCCACCTGTTTGGAAGAGTCCCTTCATGGACACGTGTTTTTCTTGCTGACTTCCACAAATACACTGAGTTCTCCTGGGTACTTTTCCTACCTGCTAGAGGACTCACCTGATCAACTAACTGCTACCTATTGATGATCCCATGTTCCTTCCTTTCGCTCGAGACAGAAGGTGTAGAAGCTTCTTACAACTGTTCTTAGTCCTTCTTACAGCCTCACACCAGGAGCTCTCTCAAAACACATCTCAACACTACTCATTCTGTCCATTCCCAAATATTGGTCCACAACCTGTTTATTTTTTGTCCAACACTGTACCAATCCTGTGGCCAATTCTGTCTCCCTGGTGTCGCCTGGACCTTCTAATGTAACCAGTATTTGTCTCTAAGGCTGATTTTTCATAAGCTGTCATTACTTTGATTGTTCTAATTTGCTCAAATCTCTTCATGAGTCCTTGTCTACTCAATCAAGACCAAATTCCTCCAGCTGACATCAGTTAAGTCTCCACAGTACTATCTTTTCTGCCAAGATATTTTTCCATTTCCTATGACATAGTCGTTTTTATCATATCCCTACAAATCTCTTTTGCCTAGGCTCATCCCATTATTTTTCCTTTCTTTTGTTCGTTGAATCTGATGCATAAATTCACTGCTCTCACCAGCTGAGTTCTTCCTCAAAGTCCACACATGAGAAGTCAGGGGCCAATACTATAACATATGATTACTCTCTAATCACATAATTGGTTTTAGTTTTTCCATGACCATATTGTAAGTTTCTTAGTAACAGAAAATATGTCTTATGTTTATATTGCCTGGGCTTGTAAATGTGCAATGAACAGTGAGCATTTAGTGGTTGGATGAATGACTGTACTTTTTATGTACAAGCCATTTCTTAGCTTAAAAACAAACCAGATACTTAAAGTCTCTCTATTTTATACCTATTTTAATATCTCTATCCTCATGATTTCACCACTGGGGTCTAATTTTCATAGACCTATACTTTTATGTGGGCTTCACTACCACTACTAGCCTTTTTTATTTCTATGTTTCCTATTTGGACAAATGTGGATTGGATAGCATATTCAGCCAACTGCCTGATTTAGCATTCCTCATTACAAGCGGCTTAAACATAAACAGTAACCTTGGGGTTATGGTCAAATTCTTGAGCCAATTTTCTAAATGTTTCCCTTTCCCCCTACAAGTTGATAATTATGTATGGAGGGTCAGAGACAAGGAACAGGCAGGTTTTTTGGACCTACAATGTTTTCAAAATTCTTGCACAGTAAAACAGGGACAGCTCTTACACTTTATTAGCAATGTTATACATTTTCCTTAAACTACTTCCAGTTGCCCTATGGGCCTTGTCTCTGGCTGTAAACAGTGTTCCAGTTACTTTCCATGCTGTGTAGACTACCTGACCAAAAAAAAAAAAACAACCAACTTAGAGGAACCTTTTAGTGGGATAGTGTCCATCGTGGTAGAATAGACATGTGAAAGGCAGTGAAGGTCTGGAAGCAAAATAGGGGGATGGCTGTTTACACTGTGTCCATACACAGGAAGCAGAGAGAGGGCAGGGATGGGATGGGCTATAAACCCTCAAAACTCACCTCTAGTCACGTACTTCCTCCAGAAAGGCTCCACCTCCTAAAGGTTCTATGACCTTCCCAAACAGTGCCACCAGCTGGGGACCAAGCATTCAAATCCATGGGGGACATTTCTCATCCAAACTATCACATGGGGTGCCCACTCTCTACTCTTCCAAGAAATGCTCCCATATTACTGGCATTTTCTGCAATGTTTTGAAGTGTTTTTAAAACATTTTTTGCATGAACAAGCATATGGGCTATGCTTATACTGAAGTGGACATTTCTGTTTCATTCTCCCCTCTACCAGTTAGGAGTGCAGTCATTTTAGGGAAATCACTATCTATGCTTCACTGACCTTGTCTACAAAATGGAGTAGATGTTTTTGTTTGAGCTCATAAAATACAGTGTTATCCTTAGGGTGGTTTTTAGGTACTCATGAACACTTTTTACTGAAGTTCCTGAAAGTAATGTACTTTTTGGAAAATAAATCTGGTAGCTGTTCCTTGAAATGAAAGGATACACACTTCCATTGTCTTTTTTCCATCTCAAGTTCTATATGACTGTAAACAGTATCCAGTTAATATCCATCATAGTCAATGACTTTATACTGTCTCCAAACCTAATGATATATTCCCATTGGGTCAACCATATGCCGTGTTTATAAAGAGCTTAGAGTCATTTTTCAGTTGAAGGCTATTTGTTCATCCTCCTCCTGACATCATACTCTGGTGGATTAAGAGTCCCTAATAAGATCAATCAATTAAGTCAGAAAGGCATTAGAGGAAGAGTAGCTGGATGATGCTTATTTCATTATGTGTCCTTCAAAAAACATTGTATCTCATACTCTAGAATGACTACATGGATATGAATGTATTACAGTTGCAATATCACATTAGAACTATGTTCTATAAAATAGTTCAGATTATGAAAAAATATCAAAAGTAGTTTATGTAACTTCTCTCTATCCAATATCCAGTATGGGAGATAAAATAGTTGAAGTACTATGCATATTATGTACCTAAGATATTTGTCATTCTGGTTATGGTATTTATAATTTTCATCCATTCACTTATAGTTAAATGAGCAACAAAATTTAAAATCATATAACTGCTAATTATATCCTTTTGACTAGAGCTGAAGTTAGGGAGCAAAATAAAAACCTAACACAGCTCATTATTTTTCTTTTTGACACCAAGCAACATAAAAAGGAATTTATCTCAACTCCTCTGATCCATCTTTTCTCCCTGTCCAACATTCTTCCAGACCTCCCAGTCTTGACTTCCCCACAGTGAAATGATCCCAAGTAACCACACAGAGAATTAATATTAAGTATAAATGCTTGGCCAATAGCTTGTTACTAACTAGTTCTTACAACTTTGACCCATATTTCTATCTATATTCTACCACATGGCTTGTTACCTAATCTCAGTGCGGCATACTTGTCTCCTCCTTCCTCTGTGTCTTGCTTGAGGCTCCTGAGACTCTGCCCTTCATCTTCTCAGCATCCTCCTAGTCTGGCTCTCCCACCCAATCTCTTCCTGCCCAGCTATAGGCCAGTCAGCTCTTTACTAACCAATGAGAGTAATACATATTTACAGTGTACAAAGATTGTTCCACAGCAGGGGTGTATCCCTGGGGAATACTAATTTTTTCTCTCTTGGAAGTTATTAATTGCTTGTCTCATCTAGGAGGGGAGGGTGCTGGGATATTTCTCCCTTCTACATTGGGATGTCAACTATTGGAATTGCTCAGGTCTTGTTGTGGCAGCCATGCTGTTGACATTTTACAGATGTAGCTTCCCTGTCAGAACTAGAAGAAACAGTTTCACAGAAGACTTCCTCTGGCTCTTAGAATCTTTCTGTTCCCTCTTCCCAGATGTTTGCTAAGTCTTAAGGTGAAAGAATTGTATTGTGCATATATCAATTGGGACAGGGCCCCCCAGCATGGTTAGTTGCTCTCTGCAATTTGATGAGTTGTGGCTTTCTGTAATGGTCTCCTCCTTTGGTAAAAAGGAGCATAAGAACCTATCATTATGAAAAGTGAAGAAGAATAACCTATAACTTGGGTAGGATTTTCACACGAACATCTCCAAAGCACAAGACTGACATTTGCTGTTAGATCCCACCTCCCACCTCATATCACATCTCACTGGAATGTCATGGCGCTCTCCATCACTTCCAAACATTCTGGTTTTCAGACCATTACTGGCCTTCACAGGGGAGCCCTGCTGGGATTATATAGCTTCCGTGTTGAAGAGCCAACCTCGTAGGATGACTCTGGGAGCTGCACATGGCTGCTCCCAGGTGGAGGCCAAGGTGGTGTGCTGGTGAACTTAGCTGACCTTGGTGACCACTTGCTCCCTTCTGAGCTACAGTCGAACCTTCCCAAGTTTGAGGTCTCTCAAACAGTTATTAGTACATCATTTCAACTTCTTCTGTTGGTTTATTTACTACTAATGGTATTCTTTCATTATGCAGCTCATTATTTTTTTTAAAAAAAAATGTTGTTAGCATTAACATTTTTAAGAAAAAGGACAAACAAGACATGTTTATTTATGTAAGGATGTGAATTTATATATATATGACCTTGTTAGAAAATCTGAGAGAATTCAAATTGTAAAACTGCTTACCTTCATAACATTTTGTAATTCTGCTTTCTAGTTAAAAATGCAACACATGATTGAGGGACAAGGGTGAAGAAATTCTTTTTACTCTATAATTTCCTTGTTTTAGTAAATGACTCATTTACGTCCTAGGAACAGAACAGTTTTTTAATGGCTGTAAATGCAATTGTTGTGTCTAGGGAAACCTCTTTAAAATAGTGTAAGCATTACCTTGTATTGTGTAGGTCTGGTGACATAAAATTCTGGGTATATATAAGAACTTGCTCTTAGTTTATTGAGATTGTTTGCCTTTGTCTCAGAAACATCCAACTTGTTTATTGCATTATCTGAAGCTGTCATCACGCAGACTGCTTTTCTCATGCAATACAAACTTGAATCGTTAATACGTGTATAAGCACAGTGTTTTCTAAAGGACGTTAGTAACTATGTCAATAAAGAATTATCCAAGTATTTAAAATGAAATAGATAATGTTAAGGTTAATTTTTACAATGACAATAATAAAAATGACAACAAAGGTTTGAATCAGAGATTGGAATGGAGTGATGGTACACCGAGGGGTGGTATTAGAACCATACCCTCGAGTTCACATATAACCAGACAATGCCTCTTATAACCAAAAGTCCTGAATGGCAAATGACTCCTTTCTATTGTTTCAATAAGCCATGTAGAGGTCTTAGCACAAGATGTAAACTACAAACGATTAGATACACAAACATAATCACGGAATAGGAATCATGTTGTGGAAACCCATGCTTTAAGACAATATATTCTATTAAAGTATTTAGCACGTCAACAAACTAAATAAGTTCAATGTCAGTTTCTTTGATTATAGCACATAGGGGGGTCAATTATAATGTAAAAAATGAACTACAGAGTAAGAGAAGAAAGATATTTCACTCTTCCCTAATCAAAATCTAGAATAGAGCTCTTACCAATAGCAAATTTCACAATTCACAATTAGGCTGACCAACATTTAGCATACAGGTACCTAACTATATAATTTTTTTTAATTATGTGAGTTTTAAAAATCAAGCAAATGGAAAATTTTATGCTTTGTTTTCTTATAATTTTTAAAATAAAATTCTAAAAATATTTCCCAACCCTTTACAAGTATGCTGTATGGAGATAGGCTAGTATGTTTGCTGTAGCTCTCTGTGACTTAAAAGACATCTGACTTGACAACATGTACTTTGGAAGTGGATGATTTTTTTCGGAAGTCTGTCACTTGGTTTTGACACAGCATAGGTAACTCTTGTCTCTGTCGGTCCATTTCCCAACAGAGGATCACCACCTTAACCGTCACGGTAACTCCTTTTGCATGATCTCTGTGGTTTGTGGCTTTGAATTCAGTATGGATGCATGCAGGCCAAGACTGTACTAATGTAGCAATTGGTTTTTATTGGGCGTTTACTTTATGTTTATGTTATTAACCTTTTAAGACATTTGACCTCGTTAAATTACTATCTGTTCTATGGGAAAGTCCGGAGAAAGTTATTACTTTTTTTTTTTTTAAAGACTTAGCCTCCAGTTAATAAGATAGCTTTATCTTTGTGGCTTAGAAATCAAAGCTTTGGCAGAGCATTGTGTGGTACACCTTTAAGCCCAAGACTCTCAAGGCAGAGAGACACGTGGATCTCTGTAAGTTTGAAGCCAGCCTGGTCTACATAGCAAGTTCCAGGACAGCCAGGACTACATAGAGAGACCCTGTCTCAAGAGAGGAGGGGAAGGGAGAGAGGGAGAGAGAGAGAGAGAGAGAGAGAGAGAGAGAGAGAGAGAGAGAGAGAAGGAAAGAAGGAAGGAGAGAGAGAAGAAATCAAAGCCTGTGAAGCAGATGGCTGAGAAGAAAGGGTTAAAACAGCCAGGTCATTCATCACAAGAAGATGTGTGCTGGAAGAGGGAGGCAGCAATTGTCAGTTGTCTTACCGAATCCAAAGTTTCCTCTGTAGCATAGTGACTTGAAGAGCATACTGAGAGTCCTCTTCAGTACTCAGAGTGGGAGTCTGATTTATCATTACATAACTGATGAAATAGTGTCCCATTGAAAATCAATATCTAGAAATATCTAATTATGATAGAAACGTGCGGTGTGCTGGTTAGTTCTAAAGCCTGAAATTTTAACATGTCTACTTGGTATGTTTTACAACATGTCTTCTCTTGCTTCAGGGCCCCCCTGGACCTCCTGGACCTCAAGGACTACAAGGGCCAAAGGTTATACTTCCTTCCTTGCTCCCCTTTACCTCCTACAGTGCAGAGATGCCATGCTGAGCATGTATGCCCTTAGAAAACAGTTCTTAGAAAGTGCTAGAGAATTGAGGCCAGAAACAGTGTTTTAGAGGACAGGGAAACGGCACCGGAGTCTCAGCTAAAGGAAGAAAGGAAATGAGGAAAGAGAGCAGAGAAATGGAGGGACACAAATTTAGGAAAGGACATTGAGGAAAGTACAGAATATTAAACAAGGGAAGTACAAGCTTCACAGAAATTATAAATGCAAAGAGATGCTCAACATGGCTTATGGGAAAAGGTAAATATTCAAACAAATGAGGATTGAAGGGAGTTTACTCTTGCCCCTAAGAAAGACCCCCTTTTTTTTCCAATTCTTTTGTAAGGGGAGAACAAGGAGAACCTTCCTATAATGCATTCATAAATGACTGACAGGTTCAGGAGCCATTCTCGAGACCTGTTTTACACGCCTTCTCTTTATCATTCAGACTTTCAGCCGTGTGCTTTATCGAATGAAGCATGCTCCCCACAAACAGCACAATCCAAAATTTCCTTGATTGTACATCAGCTTTGCTGGCGGTGGTAGCTTTACCACCCCACCCCCCAAACTAAAGCTCCATCATTCAACCATGTTTGAGCAATTAACACATGTCCAGGAATTCTGGCTTTTCAGAACTGAGCTACACGTGTTGAAATATGACTTTCGTCATTGGATTCTTGTAGGAGATTCAAGTGGTTTCAAAATTCATTTTTTATTTACGCTTCTTAAGTTGGCTTATTTGCTGTGCCTAGCATACAGACACACACATTCATGCACACATCAGCTTTTGTACTCTCTCTAGATACTTAAAAATAAATGTCCAGTGTATAGAGATTTATTTCTCTATTAAAAGACTATAAAATAAAATATTACTGAGGTTATTGTCTTTTTTGAGTTATATTCAGGGCATAGATCCTAATTACCAAAATATTTTTTGTGTAACATAAACATGTTCCACATATTAATGTATGATATGGAACTTAACTAATTTTCTACATAGTCTTGTCCCTGAAAGCGTAGCACCAAATATTCAACAGTCATACCCTGTACTTGTCTCTGATGACCAGTTTTTCTGATCCCTCTCCTCTTAACAGTTTGATGATCTGGGCTAGACATGGAAGGAACTTTGGAGATTCTCTCCTCCTTTGTGTAGTGTCAATCCAGATGAGATTTCTTGCTTCATCTCCTCTCATAACTAGAACTTTCTCCAAAGCTAAATAAATACATTTCCCACAAAGCTCAAAGGTTTCTGTGATTTCTCCACAGTTCTGAGGCCTAGAAAAGGCAACCATGCTTTGATCTAAAGAAATAAAAAGGGTTACCCAGCTAAAAAGGGCTCTCACTAAACTGCCATCTCTTCTTTTATAATCACTTGTTAATTCTGTTGCCCAGGAGGTAATTATGAGCCTTCACTTCCTGATATGGTTTTGAATCTGCAGAGATACCAGTAAGAGGTTTTACTAGGAACTTAGAACCCAGGGTCTGAGACAGGCACCTAAAGGCATGATCACTAATAAGTAAGTGCTCTGATGTGGGTGTAGATGAGGGATAGGGTGTGATGGCTCAGTGGTTAAGAGCATTGGCTGCTCTTCCAGAGAGCCCAGATTCCATTCCCAGCACCCATATGGTGGCTCACACCCATCTATAACTCCAGTCTCAGAGGATCTGACACTCTCTTATGGCCTCTGAGAGCACCAGGCACACACATGGCACAAAGACATACATGCAGGCAAAATACACATAAAAATATATCTTTTTTTAAAAGAGTGTGTGGGCTGGATATGCATAGAACTGCCTCTCTAGGTCTGGAAGTCCAGGATGGTTTTGAGTTGAAACTGAAGAAAGACAGAGGGGTGGTAACCGTATGGAAATCTGAACATGTGGTGGCAGAGAGGCGTCAAACCCCTCCTCACTACCTGCCACTTCCCCATCCTGTCCACCGTACTGACCTCTTCATCCCACCCATCACGGTGACTAATATCATGTTGTATGACAAGCCTTTATACTTCCCAGGATCCTTCTTGAGAAAGTTGGGATCATTGAGGTGGGTATGTCTGTCACTGTGAGACAGCGCAGCTTCTCCCGGAAAAGAATAGGACACATTCCCAGCTCTGGACTCACTGCCTCAGACTGACGGTAGTCTATTCACTTGGTATTTCTCCGTCCAGTGTCAAATAAGAGGAATTTTAATTTTTTACACATCAAACAACTCTTACTAACCACATTTGAGTGATGGAGGATCTATGAATCTTGTTCTTTCAGCCTCCCTGGTCCACATTTGTAAAGGTAACAGTTGAGCAAAGCTATGGTGATTGGACTAGAGTGTTGACAGGTATCCAGACTCAGAATGAAGCTGGGGCTCAGCCGGGTGCATCCAACCTCAACAGAAAATGTTTGTGGCAAAATAAACTTTGCTACTGCCGCAAAGAACCGGAAATCCGAAATGAGGAAAGGCCTTTTTTTTATTTCATTGGTTTGAAACCACAAGATCCTGCCTTCCTTAAACACTGGGAAAGCTCAGGTTTCATACCGTGGCCTACAGCTCTTCAGGGTTTTTTTTTTTTTTTTTAAACCAGGAAAGGGAGTTCTAGCGGATGGAGCATTGTGGTTTATACTATCGCCAAAAACACTTCCTAGAAAACACAGCCTCAGGACTGCAACTGGAAAAACCCTTCTGTGAGGGGCTTGCTCACACCCAGACTGTCTTCACACTTAAACACAGGGTAGAAATTGGGGCTTGTAACAGTGTCCATACAGACAGTTGAGTGGTATAAAACCACGCCTTACATTTCAAAGGATTTTTGTTCAGTTATCATTCAAATCTGAAAGATGACTAAACATGTATCATTTAAATAATCTCTAGCATGCTGTTTAGATTTGTTTTAAATTAAACATCTTCCATTAAAAAAATAAATCTCTGTATTCTGAGTTTGTCAAACATTCTAATAAATCATGCTATTAAAAGTCCATTTATTTCATTTCTAGCATAGTATAGGAAATGGAATGGGTCTGAAAGTCACCTCACGTGGATTGAGATATCTGATTTATTAGATCCTCCAACGGGGCTTTTCTGGGCAGGGCACACTCACAGCCATTATGAAAGTTTCACATTGTGCCAGTTAGAATATTGCTATACATTTACCAAACTTTGCCTTTTATTCTCTCTTGGTCTAACTATTATGTTTTGATTGTTACTGAAAATTAGACAGTCTGTACTGATTCCTTCCTTATGGGAAAAGAGAATTAGCAAAGTCATAGAAGTGTTGCTGTAGGATGTGGTCAGCCATTAAATTGTATGTAACCAATGGAAGAAAAATAAAAAACAGTGGGTATTTGCTACATATGGGTATTATTACAATTCTCAAGAAAGATCATCCCTTCACTTAGCTTAGATATATGTACTGGACCAGCATATTCTTGGGTTAAAATGTATTTGCTAAAAGTCAAACTGTACTTTTACCAACTAGCATGGTTTCTGTAGCAATCATAAATGCAGGCAAGTTCTTGCTTTTTATTTTGTCAGGGTGAGCAAGGATCTCCAGGAATTCCCGGAGTTGATGGAGAACAGGTAATTTTCAAAGATATATATTATTATTTAAAGCACCACTATTGATCACTCACTGCTTTTATGATAGGTTTAAAGCCAAAAGTCATGTCTTTTGATAGATGATGTATCCTCTTTTTTTTCCATTCCATTTGAAATCTAAAAATGCAATTGGTTTTAAATTAGATATAAATTTTGTTGTAAAAATGTAAAGCTATATGTTTCTTTAGTTTTGTGCTTGATGCTACTGACATGTCAATCTACCTCAACACATTTTAGTAGACTCTGAAATCATTACATTAGTAAGAATGGCTTGGGGTTTGGGTTTGGTTTTTTTGAGGTTTTTTTTTTTTCAGTGAATATAAGCAATTCAATATCAAAATCAGTGGCCATAGTTTTCATGATTAATAGCATTGCTTATCTACAGTCATTCGATAATGTCTCTTTTTTGGGTATAATGATTTCCCCTGATTTTCTAAATGTTTTGAAAACTCAGACAAAAAGTGAAGCACAGTCAGCTTGCACACGATAGCAGTATCTTTCAGAGTGTCCTCAACATGGAAGCTGATAAAATTTCTCTAAAATTCTGATGGAAATACTTTAGATTTTGTGGGTACATATGGTCTCTTTCGTGTATCCTTTTCTTTAAACATGTCTTACTTTTTTAATTCAACATAAATAAAAACAGTCCCTAGGCTGGACTTGGCATGTGTGCTGTGGCTTGGCAACCCCCACCTTTTAAGAATTTTACTGAGAGAATGCAGACAGCATTAGGAATCAAACCACAAGGATTAGTTTCAAAATCTTTGAGGCTATATGGACTTCAACTATTTTCTCAAGAAATGGATCAAGGGATGGAAAGATGACTTGTTGGCTGAAAGCATGTATTGCTCTTGTAGAAGACATGGGTTTGGTTCCCCACATCCACACCAGGCAGCTCACAACCACCTGTCACTCCAATTCCAGGGTGTCAGATGCCCCCATCTGGCCTCCACAGGCACCAGCACACATGTGGTGCACATCATCATATTCAGGCCCACACACAGAATAAAAAAAAATATAGTTGAATATATTTAAGAAATAGCTTGAATTAATAAGAAGTCAATGGAATTTTTGATGTACTGAGTCAACCATATACTCTTCAGGAAAAAGTATTAGACAAAAAAAATACTTAACTTAGGAGAAGAGTTATTTTTAATAACAGAGTTGGATATTGCAGTCACAAAATGTCACATCAAACAAATACTGTAGAAAGATAATTTAGTCAATTTTCCATGTCAATTAGAGATCACATTAATGATAACCTTTCCCCATTGTTAGTAATTAAAGATAACAAATTAGACTTGTATAGTAGCATACTAAATATGCCTAAATATTCAATATATACAGTAGCTGGATGTTTTTTCTATAGTCTTTGCAAAAGCCTGTTCTCCTACTCAACCTGTTGAATTGGCCTTGTTGCCTTTTCCTGTCACAGGATCTCTAAAACCAGCTGACCTTGCTGATTAACCAGAAAGATAAATCTATCTTTGCTGGTACTTCTTCACTCCCCCAGGATGTGATTCTGAAGTCAGTATAAAGACAGTTAACAAATTAATATGTGTTCTTGTCCCTAAGATGAACAGGTCTGTGCAGCTTGTGAATCCCCTACCATGGTAACCATAACCATCTGCTCATGTTGCCACAAGGTTACTGGGATGAAAATGCTTAAAAATATTAATTAATTTCAATGTTAGTGTTCCATAACTCACATTTGTTAGCATTCAAAACCCACACATCTATTTTCTCATTCTGAAAGAATAGTAATTGCATTTGGCTCACCATGTAGCAATGTCATGAGCACCAACAGGAACACTGAACAAGTTGAGTGTTTTGAAGCATTGATTGAACATTGGTGCTGGAAACTGATGACAGCTAGTTCTTATACACACAATAAAGAGGACAGAATGGCTGCGTAGAAATGGGAACGCTCACTTGGATCTTTGCTATTATAACGCTAAGTCCTGCTTCAAATATTTTCTGTACTGTTAAGAATTACGGTCATTACATTGTCTTCTGGACTGGTAGGATGCAGTTAGTTGCCAAGCAGATTTAGGAAACCAGGAGAAATAATGCCAAACCCTGAGTTCATGTTTTTTGTATTTAAATGGTCTCTAGAACTTAATCCTATTACATGGGGAAATATTATTGATCCAATGCAGAAGGCTGTAAAAAAGAAAATACCTGAAAACAAAACTCATAGTCATCTCCACTTGCGGCCACCTCTTGGCAGATTTATCTGGAATCCCATTAGCCATAGGATGTGCCTATCAGGTTGTCACTGTGCTTCTCACATGCCAACTCTATCACTTGTAGGGACTCAAAGGCTCCAAGGGAGATGTGGGGGACCCAGGGATGCCAGGTGAAAAAGGAGGAATTGGCCTTCCTGGACTCCCGGTATGTTCACACTCTATGGTGTGCTCTTCCTAAAATAAGTGACTAGGAAAGAATTATATTCTCAACTGTACTCTCAGTCAGTGTTTTCAAACTGTTTTTATTTTTGAGATAACGAAGTATTGTTGCTTAGTTTTTCCAAGTGAGACACTAAAATTTTAAAGTATAGCCAAATTAATTAAAAAGTAAGTGTTTGGTTTATTTTTCCTGGGTTGTTTTCTTTAGAAGATAATAAAGAAAATAGAATTGGCCATTTGAATTTAATATGTATAGTCAAGTAATTATCATAAAGTAAGCCACAATAAAGAAATAAATTATCACAAAACTTTAGAACCATTGTAGAACAGATTAGTCTGTATGTCTATATTTTGGGGTGGTCTATACTTTGGGGTGGTGCTTATTCCCCCTGAGTTACTGTTTCTCAGAAACTTTGGAAGGGAAAATACAGAAATTATAAGAAAAAAGTAGAGGAACTTCCTTCCACCCCCTCCCACCCTACACCAGGTACTGAAGATGGAACCTAGGCCCGTACATGCCAGGCACACACTCTACTACCGAGCTGTATCTCAGATCCTTTTGTTTTAACTTTCTACATTAAAAACTTGTGTAGGCTGCTTGAACACACTCTGAAACATAGGCTGGCCTTGAATGTTTGCTCTCTCTGCCTCAGTCTCCCAAGTAGCCAAGATCTCAGGCCCATGTCACCAGGCCTGGATCTTTTACTTGTTTTTAAAGAAGCAGCTATAAATAAATGTCAGTGGGACTAAAGTCTCACCTTTGCTATTTAAAGTGAGCACACTGTAAAAAAAAAATAACATTTATAATCCAGTATATTTAATACTGTGAAATCAGGCTCAGCCTAGTTTCTATTTACTTTGTATTTTTCTTTATATAACACCCATAATCCTAGGGGTTTTAGTAAATTTACTGCTTTGGACTAAAAATAGATGGAGATAAAACTTGTTATGTATTATGTGCATAATATAAAAAATTCAAGGCAGTCTAAGTTCACTTGTCTGTTAGACCTTGGAAATAATGTTCCTGCTAAATCTGCTTCCTGGTTATTTGTAGGGTGCCAATGGAGTAAAAGGAGAGAAAGGAGACTCTGGGTTGCCAGGTCCTCAGGGTCCTTCTGTAAGTTCATGGGGCTGACCCTTCACATGGGATTATTATTTGCCTAGGTCTGCCTGTGCCAGATAGCTAACTGGTAATAGAAATACAGTCACCCACTTGGTGAATCAAACTATACATGATACATGTTAGTCTTGTACCAGGAGAGACAGCGTATCTCAGAAGTTTGAGTTGGAAGCAATTGTTCAGAGCTCTGGGGAGAAAAATCAATGGATTTCCCATAATGCTTCTAGGGAAAGCCTAGTGAAATAAGAACTTACATTCTCTTTCTCTCCAGAGTCCTTTTTGTGCTTAGTGAAATAACAGAGGGTTTAATAGTGGTTGCAGCATTATAGAATGTCTCGATAATCAGTTGCTTCCTTTTCTTTTAATATAGTTTTGATTTACTCTGGGTTTTTGTAGAACAACTGTAGTGTTTGAAGTTATTTGATTCTCATAGAGGAATTGCTAAAGCCAGGGAATCAAGCACAGCACTCCTCACCATATTCTCTTTCCTCTGTGACTGCTGATGGCATTAGCAGAGCCCTAGAACTAGACCCCTGCTCTCCTGCCTTATCGAAATGAAGTAACCACACCCATGTTTATTTTTTGGACATACAGATCATAGGCCCACCAGGCCCTCCAGGTCCCCATGGCCCGCCTGGCCCCATGGTAAGTTTCCTTCTCCCTGAAATGTAATCATTTATCTATCATGTGCTACTAGGGAAAAGATGAGCACAGGCAGCGTTTGCTTTGCGTTGCTCTCTGGGGAATGAACAGAAAAAGTGAGGTGTTCTGCCTGCTTCACAGCGCTGCCTTTCATTCCCCTAAACACGTGTGTTAGAAAGACGTAGAGCCGAGGAGAGACAGATCTGGCAAGCTTTACTCCAAGGGGCCATGAACACCGGCAAGTCATCTTACCCTCTTGCTGTTGTAGGCTGTTAGTAGCTAGTTAAGGTAATTATCAAGCCAGTGAAGAGGGTTTCTAAGCAGCTTTGAAGCTTGAGACCCTTCCCTGAACGATCCAATGAGAACCTGTGTAAAACAGTGTGATAAAGACTGAGGCTGGCTCCCACAGGTGATGGAGTGTTGGATCTTTCTCCTTCCGTGTCAATGGCTCCTTCTGGTGAGTCATGGAGCCAGGCCATGTTTGCTGTGGTTGTCTCCCAGTGAGCAATGGGAACAGCATTCCTGATTCCACAGAACTGCCAGCGGGGAAGGCAGCCCTGAAGCACGCGTGGTTCTCTAAATGCTGGAGTAAGTTGTGCTTAGGCTCGGATGCGGACGGCAGAGTGCTCCAAGGGTCTTGGACGCAGCAAGGAACAAGGCAGGAAGGATATAGGGTTACACTCATCTCTCGGGTGTCTTCATAAACCGGAAGACATCAATAAGAGAGAGGAAGGCACGTGTGGCCACCCTCTATTCCAACTGCACTCTAGAGAGAGCATCGTGGGAATGATCCCAGCCGCAGGGTAGCCTGGTCGGTCACCCAGGTCTCACTAATTGCCTCCTTTCTTTGGTAAACAACTTCCATTAACCTTGTTCTTGTAACACCAAATAGTCCATTAAGAATTAATCAAATGACATGTTTTTGGCTTTTTATACTCCTTTCACTTTAAGTTAGAAGGTTAAATTAGAAAATGCTACATCCTGTTCAAATGATAAAGTTAATTAGCTTAAAGGAATTTGAAACCATTATTAACATGAGATAAAAATACTCAATAATGAGAGCTATTTCCTGAAAATGTTTATTCGCAACTTATCAAGAGGGAAAACATTACTCTAATGTAGACATATGTAACAAATATCTCAGCGAACATGGTCAGCAGTTTTTCCCTCTGTTTTATTTCACTGATGGATATTTAAATATGCATCTCCCTGAATAGCTTATTAGAATCTCTTTAAAAGTTCAAAGCAATCCAGAATAACCTTCAGTTAATTTAAATTGATAATTAGTTTCTATATTTGTATTTTCCGCCAAACAACTTTCTTTTTATCCTGATTCATACATTCATTATGACCTCCTTTCTTTGATAAACAACTATTAGAAGAGCCTTAAAGAATTCACTTCTGTAACAATAAATGCAATCCAAATCATAACGCTTAGGACTCTTTGATCTTAAACTGGACGAATGGCTGGCCTTCCAGACTCCCAAGCTTGGACGCCATCTTCTTGCCACCTTTGGAGTCTTCAACACCTTGGTTATGAAGAGTGAAGGACAAAGATCTCCTCTTCTTGCTACTCAGACTGTAGAGATTTTTTTTTTCCCCTGAATTTCTGGCTTTTACGTTCTACCTCTATTCCATAAAAATTCATGAATCATCTCAAATATTCCACCAGGTTATAAAATGGAAATTTGAGAAGTACCTGTAATGTAAATACAAAACAGGGGCTCTCTTCTTGCCTAACTTTTCTTCCATGAAAACCCCAGCAGCTTTCTCCTCTCGTAGGCATTTAGCAGACAGAATTGCTCCTAATGAATTTCCTATTACAGAGCAACCCAAGAGCTGGAAGGAACATTTGGTAGGTAATAAATAACATCCCACTGACCTGCCTCTGGATAGAGCTCAGACGAGAAGATTCTTGCCTTACATCTCATTTTATACTTGATATAATACTCATTTCTACAGGAAGCAGTGAGTTTTTAATTAAAGCTGTGCTTTCCATTTTCAGGGACCCCATGGACTTCCTGGACCAAAGGTACCAGCAAATCCCTTGATTATTTGATTTCTGTTTCCTTGATGGTCACAGGCAAGCATGACGGAAGCATGTCTGTCCTGTCTTATTTACTTGTCAAGTAATGTTGATATCTTTAAGCCTTTAAGCACCCAGATGTTTAATTCTCACAGTATAACTCGCCTCACGATGAGCTTAAGTGCTAACACCTGGAAATAAATCATTCCGCATTTTGCTTTTACCCTTGTCACTATGTAAGTTTTTTTTTTTTTAAATACGTGGCATATTAAAATCTGCCACGTAAGGGTCATCTGATGAAATTCTCAGACTAAGCCAGGAGCTCTCTCTTTTTATGGTGGCACTGGCTCTATATTTGCTGTCAACTGAAGGTCTTGCTTGCCACACACTACTACTGCATCTACCTGCTTTGGCTTCCTAGCATCTCGGTGTCTTCCTTCCCATGGGTCATAATCTAGAATAGGATGGGGTATATCAGCTGTGACGTCATAGAAGTCATGTATATGTAAAAAGGTGCAATGGAGACTAGGTCCTCCTTGACAGAACCAGTAGAGCTTACACTGGAAAGACGGTCTCTGCCTGTTCTTTTCTTCTACAGAGACCCAGAGAGCATCTTGAAACGTAGTGTTAGCACTAGGCTTCTGAAAGCCCAGAGCAGCCCCCCTCTCCTGGGGGTTGGCAAGCCCCCCTTTGGCTCTCACAGCTATGAAGGGGGTTGCCAGCCATACTGGCTTCACACAAGAATCCTTGGCTTTCCTTTTCAGGGGCAGGCAGGTAACACAAGAAGAAGAACAGTTGGTCACCTCGATCTTAGAATGCCTTACCTTCAGGTTAAGCCAGTGGATAGTGTATCAGTTACTATAATGACTGAGAGTAAGGCTTCCAAGATTGTTTTATTTCTGTGGTGATTGAGACACACCATAACCATTCAATTGGATGAGGCCCAGGATCCTTTTGATACAGAAAATGACATTAAGTCCTTTTTCCACAACAGTTGTTATTTCCATCATTGCTATCAACAAATTATAACATTGAAAAGACCTCAGATGACCTATGTTAGTTCCTTGACTCTGCAACTGATAAGCTACACAGACCGGGAGCAGTTCACTTATTTAATGTAAATTACAGGAATAGATGATGACCAGGTTGGTAATAGAATTTGGTGCAGATATGAAATTTGGTCTTTTTGCCACTTGATTTGACTGCTTTTCGATTGAAATTTGAAACATCTACTCTTATCAATATGTGGTTTCCCACCAAAGAATTTCAGGGCCCACCAAGTCTGCCCTGCCTGTTCATCATCTTAAAACCACACACTAGAAATGAGCTCACATGCAAAGCCGTGAATCTCAAGTTTAGAACAGTGACCACTGAGCCTTGGCCCCAGTGCATTGTGAACTATGGCACTGTGACCTCAGGATTAGACCTGGTCAGTTATAGCATATTTGGGTTTTCAACGGTGGCTACACTACAGACTCACATTTTCAAGGTCTACAAATTCTACTATGCTATGACAGTGTGTGGGCCCTCTGAAAGTTCAAATATATAGCATGCTCTCATGAGTGCATCCATATCAGGGTTTCCCATAATTTTCTCATGAGCATTCTCATCTAGGCAACCGTTAATTATACCCATTCCTATGTTCACTGTGTTATGAGACTCTAGAGTCTGCTCTGAATGAGCAGCACACTGGTTTTCACCATCAGGCAGATCAGATAGTACTTCAAAGGTTGAAAATCCCTTCAGCCAATATGAGCATGCCCTCCATACAGTGAGGTCACCTTCCTTTCACAAGTCTTTCCATGTTTTCTTGACAAATGAATGCCCATACTTAAAAGCTGAAAAGTGTATGTATCCGAACTCTCTGTCTCTAACGTGCTATTACTGCTGGGCAATCGGCATGCTATATCCCTGGATTTTTCCTGAACTGAGTCAAGAGGATTTGCCACTTATCAGGGCTCTTGTAATGTCATCCCATGTTAAACTGTACTTCCTTCGTTCTAACATGGCGCAGACAGTCAGGGAAACTATATTCAAGTTCTCTGATCTTCAGTCTCTTCTGGGACTGTCAATTTGTGGTTAACTCTATTGATTAATCCATGCAGGAACCCAACTTGGCAATGTCAGGGAATGAGGACTTGCAGAATGGCATTACTTTAAACATCAGTGTCTACGTTTTCAGTTCATTCTCCTGGGCAAAATGCTTAAAGGCTTAAAATGTCTGTCTATAACACTGCCCTGCATATTCCAGTTTTCAATCCCAGCAGAGTGGGGTTTCCTACTGATCCCTTCAGTATCCACCACTCTGATTGTCTCTGATTTGCTTAGTCAAAACAATGTAACACTAAGTTCCTTGAGGTAGAACTCCAGGATCCATGATGTCAGCTGTACATCTTGTGGTGATACTCAACATGTCTTTTCCTTGAGTTTCAGCGCTTTCTAGAATATTATTTGTCATCTCTAGCTTATTAAGCTTTAAGTTAGGTTATTAACTGATGCACAATCAAGCTAGCCTCACTCTGCTGTTACCTAAAACTGGAATCTGCAAGTATTTCAGAGACTGGGTCTCTTCTCTCACAGTTGAAACACCCATGATAGCAACCAAAATTGGCATTTGCTTTTGCATTTAGGGTGAACCAGGGTTAAATGGTGTTAAAGGATTGAAGGGTGAACCAGGCCAAAAGGGTGACAGAGGACCCCTTGGTCTTCCAGTAAGTAAAGAACACTTTCCATTTGGGGGCAAATCTCAGATTTTTCTTTCTAAGCAACCGTGCCGGCTTGCTCGGCGGCTATCTTACAGTCAAGAATCCTGTCATTCGAACACACCCTATGTCAGAGCAGAGCACAGTCCAGTTTTGTTTTCCCTGATGTCTTGATCTCGTGTCTCAGGGTGACCCCATAACAAGCAGTGCCACAAATGTCCCGTCACGCGTCAATTGCATACATGCCAACCTTGCTCTTGTGGGGCTGACAGGCAAGTTCTGCCACTGTCTCTTCTGAAAAGCGATGCTTGCTGTTTCATGGTCTCTCCCAAGCACGTTCATGGTCTAATACAGGGTAAGCCTTGTACTCCGTTGTTTTGATCTCTCGGAGTCTGTACAAACTCTAGCGCTCTGTTGGTGGCACGTATGCAATTGGCCATCGTTGAGGTCAGTGCTGTGGCCCCTTACATTAGTCGACCGCGTTGTGTTCTGTATGTTTTGTGTTGTCCGTTTTGGAGATTCCCTGTGATGAGGTTCCTGGGAGAATAGTGGATAGTATGGAAGACATATTCTGCAGTTGTAAAGATTTTCATTCATAATGAAAAAGGGGGTTTCACCCATTCATATACTTTATGCCAATATTCTTCCCACAACAACTTGAAAGGGTTTTAAAATTATTATTGAGTATATGTGGTTTAATTTGGGGCTTTTAATATGTTGCTTGTTCAGTAAATGAAGATAAGGGTCAGTAAAAATATTGTAGGTTACATTTGTAAAATATGACATAAAACCAGTAGCAGAAAATAGTTGTATAGTAGAGATGTGAGATAAAAAGTGTTGATGGTCCCCATCTCATTTTCCCCATGGGTATTGTGTTTTCAGTACTAACATCCACTCAAAAGCCCATGGCTTCTAAGTCAGACACCGCAGCTATTTCGTATACATTTACTTACTGAGTGAATCATGGGAGCTTTATGTTATAGTTCAAGTTAAATTGTGCCAATTGGATCAATGGATCATAGACACAAAACATTTGTAAGCCCTTAGTTCCACACCCCAGTTAGATAAAGAATCTTATCAGTATAAATATCATTTTAACATTTATCTTCAAATGTTATAATAGTAACTTTAAAAAAAGGCTTTTTTAAAAAGGCTGAATAAGCTTTACATTTCCTAAACGTTAAGTCTAGTTTCTCTAAACTTCCCCCTACTGTCAAATTTAGGGCTGCTGGGGATTTTTACAGCCCATTTAGCCAAAAGCTATTACTAAACAAGCAACAACAATATCTACTGTTTATAATTGTTGCTACCTAAAGCTCTGTTTTGTACTTACAGCATTGATCATAACAAGATCATACTGAAAGAATTTTTAAATTAAAAAAAAAAAACTAAAATTATCCCAAATGTATATGTGTTGGCATTGCTGGCAGGTGGAATCGATTTTTTTTCTTTCATTTTTTTATTATTAACTGCACCTGAAGCATGAAGCTGAGAAAGAGTTCTCCAGCCTGGCCAAGAGAATCGAAAGTGCTAACACGGTGTCTTTTTAAATATTCCATGACGTAGTCTGTGTCTTTGAAGTAACAAGTATCGGGGGTTTGCTCTATAAGAGCCTAATCAAAAAGGGTTATAGTTACATCTTGCTACAAACACAGAAAGTGCAGTTTTATCATTCCTCCATGGGTATCCCTCAATCCAAAATAAGGAAAAGCATGTATTAATGTGAGATGCGTAGGTTTTAAGTCATTTCTCATGCAAACATCAGTGTAAAGATTATTTGAACTGACCTGGGGCACAGACTGGGACTTATTTTAACTTGAGCCCATATTTTTTTTTCTTGTTCCTAGAAGTCCCTCTAGTGGTGACTAATGTGAATTTTAGGTCCAACACACAAATAACGTCCATATAAAATCAAGCACAGCCTTTTTGTTCATAAAAGCGTTTTAACAAGTGTAGCCAGAGCCCTAGAGCCCTTTCTTAGGAGATTTCCATTACTTTCTCTTCAGAATCTAAAGAAATCTATCACGAATAATAGTCTTTAGGAAATTAATTTCATGTGGACATAGAGCTAGAAGCCCCTTTGCTGTGTATTGTCAGCAAGTACTCTGTAGGCCACTGTGTAAAACCTCCTTCACCAGACTTCTAGAGAAGAATTTCCTGGTAGAAATGTCACTAAAATGCCATCACCTGTGGGGCATGTATTGTCATGTGATTTTTTTTTTAACTAACTATTTGTAGCAATGTGGTATTCATCCCAGAATTCTGTGACTGTGTATGATGTTGCTTGAAGTGTTGCATTTCTCACCAGTACCTCATACTAATCTCTGTTCTTGTCATTTGTGTCACACCCACCAATCCCGACCAACCCAATCACACAGGGAGCATCTGGCTTAGACGGGAAGCCAGGATCCCGGGTGAGTCAGCCCCGCGTCCTGCTCCGACGTGTGTGCGCTTCATGGATTGTGTGCTCTGGGGAAGACCCCTTCATTCTTTGTGGTCTTCCCAGATGATGAGGGGTCGCTTAGGGCGAGAATCAGAGGGGGAAGTGGATGAGGACGATGGAAAGGGAGAAAGAGAGACAGAGAATGGGTCACAACTCGAAAGTATGGCCCGAGCTGCCAGGACATCTTCAGAAGTTCAAGTCTGGATAATTTACTGAATGAGAAGAGTGCTGGGCCCAGCTGCCTTCAGTGTCTCAGCGACCTAAAGCAGTTCATAAAACCTTCCCTGCATTCCCTTGGGAAAAGCCCTGAAATGGTGAAAATGAAGAATTTACTTTAACTTGCTTTTCCTTTATATTTTTGTCCATCCTAGAAATGCAATTTCTTCCTTAAATTAACTTCCAAGTCTCTATTCATGAAGCAAAGCATGTGTCTCCATCATTTTTACCACTTCTTTGTTTTTAGCAGCTTGACTTTTAAATTTTAGCCATAGTCACTCAGTATTTAGAAGTGTTGTGGAGGTGAACTTTGAGTTGAAGCAATAAGAGAGTAATTAAGACACTAAGAATTCACCAACAGGAGAATGAATTCGAAACTCTGAATTCTTTCCTATCAGAGAATCTAACAGAATCCACCAACCTGCCAGGACAATGAGGGGAATATGCTAGACAAGTTGAATAATCCTTGTGCGTGCAAATACCATTTTGCACTCTTTGCCACTCTAGGCATAGTCTTCCTGATAATCGAGGAAATATATTTGAAATCCTTACTACATTTTTAAGAATCAAAATTTTCAGTTCTAAAAACCTTCAGGCAGTTATTATTTTCTGCCGGACCCCAGAGTTCTTCCATCCTTTCAGATATTATCTTTTCTGTCACAGAAACCAGTTCTGTCAATCGAGTCATTTTACCTGCCTGATGTGCAAATTATGGGCAAAACCTAGAAGAACAACCCCTCCACCTCATGAGCCCCTGCTGTCCCAATGGAGCTGCAGAATGTTGTTTTGGAAGTTAAATACTTCTCATTCATATGTTTTAAATCGCTAAAAACAAAGTTTTGAGGCTTTGGCCATGGGTGTCAGTGGCTGTGGAGAAAAGACTCAGGGCGAAGATGGTAGAAAGGAAGGATGGTTATATTTTCCTGGTTACGACTATGGAGGCATGGGGCTGGAGAGTTGGCTCAGCAGTTAAGAGCACTGGCTGCTCTTACAGAGGACCCAGATTCAGTTCCCAGAACCCACATGGTGGCTCACCAGCATCTCTAACTCCAGTTCCTGGGATCTGGTGCCCTCTTCTGGCCTCCATGGAAACTGCACACACATGATGTCTATACATACATGCAAGCACTCACACATACACATAAAATAAAAATAAATCTGGGAAAAGAATGATGAGAGCAAAATAAAGATACTTCATCAGATAAGAATAAATAACTGTGAAATATGGCTTTTTGTGTATACTCTTTGTTGAAGCATGCAGTTAGATACTTCCTCCCTGTTGCATGGATTTCTCAAAAATAACTGGCATGAAAAACCATCAAGAATAAAGTGCTTTAAAATCAGATAAGTTATCCTAAGACCTCATTCTCCCAGACAAGTAAAACAGAACTTTTCTTGCAGCCCTTGTCTCTCACTCGTCTCATGGTATTCTATTTTTATCTTTTTTAGGGTGCAGATGGTCCTATAGGACCCCATGGCCCTGCAGGTCCCAAAGGAGAAAGAGTAAGTCTCTCTTTGTGTTATCACACTTAAGCTGAGCGCTGAAGGAAACAAAGCATTGCTTCGAGACAATCTCAAACTGTTCAATGTCCAGGAAAGATGGGGGGCTATCTAGTATTAAATGAAAATGTTACCCATTCGGAGTTCTATTCAGAGTCCTAAGACTAAGAGAAGAAAACCACATAGTATGACATGGGATCAGTCTGCCTTAATGAAAACAATATATACATTTACATAGCTGAAATAAATAGTTCCCATTATTCCTTCTTAACCCATAAGGAAGGTATTTTCATTGGGCCTTCATCCAGAAAGTTGAAGTCAATGGGGCTAAAATTTCCAGAACTACATATTCTGGTTGATAATCTTAATACAAAGCTACTGTATTCATTCCGAGTAAATTATAATGTTTTTCCAAAGGAAATTACAAAACCTACATATTCTTCTCCATTCAGTTACCCATACTCTCATTTTTCTTTTGTGAGTTAAAGAATGACCTGTTTTCCTGTAGCCATAAGGAAATGATTTCAGTGAGTTATAAAGCGGGGCCCTTTCACTCACCTCACTGTTCCAGTCTAGGCTTCCACATCCTTGGGAGGAAAAGAAAAAGAGAGACACTCGGGGGAAGATGAATATCTGACACAAAAATGTGCGGCAGCCTCGGCAGCTGCTCATGTGTCTGGAACCTCTTCCCTTCTATTTTTCACCCACTTTTTCTTTTCTTCACCTTGGAAAACTGCAAACGTGTGTGTGTGTGTGTGTGTGTGTGTGTGTGTGTGTGTGTAGAATTGTGTCATCAATTTCCCTAGCAGGCACTGTACAAGATGAGGAAAGTATGCTGAACGTGAGCATTTCATGACGTTGGCATGGTTCACCGTGTAAGTTTGTGAGCTTTTTAAAATGAGAGTTTTCATCAGTCTGGGATAATCTGATTTTTAAAGAAAGGACCAGGTCTCTGACATGCCTTCTAATTCCCTAGTCCTGTGTTCTGTAAAGTACTGTGTACAATGTAATTCTTTGGGGTGAAAGAAACACTCCTCCTACTTAAAGAAAACACCCTTTGCTGGTTGCTCTGCTACATTGAATAATACCATTATAATCGATTCATCATCATCACAGAGACTTTTATTAATGGCCATAAATATATACACTATATAAATAATGCTGCAGAGGAAGCATCCAGTTTTTTTTTCTATTATTGAAAATAGATTCTTTTCTCACATAATATGTCCTGATTATGGCATCTGCTCCCTGTACTCACCCAGTTCCTCCCCACATCCTCTTCCATCCTGTCTCCCATTAGAAGAGAACAGGCTTCTAAGAGATAATATTAAAATATAACAAAATGAAATAGAAGGTAAAGCAAAAAAAAGCAAGGTTGGACAAGACACACCAACAGAAGGAAATGAGCCCGAGAGAAGGCACAGGAATCAGGGACCCGCTCATTTGCACACTCAAGTATCCCATAAAAAACTAAACTGGAAGTCATAATATATACGCAGAAGACCTGTGCAGGCCCTGTGCATGCTGCCACAGTCTCTGTGAGTTCATATGAGCTCTGCACATGTTGATTTACAGGGCCTTGTTTTCTTGGTGTCCTCCATCCCTTCTGGCTCTTATGCTCTTTCTGCCTCCTCTTCCGTGGGGTTCCCTGAGCGCTGAGGGGGAGGGGTTTGATTGAGACATCCCCTTTAGGGCTGAATAAGAAAGCATCTACCTTCATTAATCTAGAAGAGTTTATATTGCAAAGAAGAAATCTATGCAAAAAAATAGCCAGAGAATAAGGCCAAAGTAAATACAACTACATGGGCTAGACCCCAGCGAAGACTGGCCTTATCCAAGAAGAGTTCCAGAAAGAGATGAGTCCTTAAGAATGTATTATCTGAATCCACTATTGTGGATCAAACCAACAACTTCTGATAATTAGCTTCATTAAAAAATACTTCAAAGCTAAGAGCGTCCTGCTGCTGATAAAGATTCATTTTCCAGCACTGGATGAAGAAACTCAGTCCATCCTAAAATTGGAGCAGCAAAGCTCAGGCGGTCTGTTGGCAGAGTGCCCTGGGGCTCAAGAGGGTTTGCTGTTTGGTAAATCAGCTGTTACTTCCGATAGCTCAACAGTGTCTCAAGGGTATCAGGTCTCAGTGCTGGTGCAGAATTAACCAGAAGAGCCAATGAAGTCCCTAAGAATTTGTGAATGCATAGTTGAAGCCAGGTGCATGCAGTGTGAAGTGCCACACTTGTGTCCCCTCAAACGGGATCGTGTATCAGTATGCCGCGAGTGCCCTCGCTCAAAGTGCCAGACCAGAGTGTGAATCTCACAGCTAATGGAGGTGCCATCTGGAGGCTCCTGCAGATGTTTCTGCTTTGAAAGCAAAGGCAGGCCTTCCAGAACAAGTCATGGGTACTGCTATGCTAATAATGAAAGAGCCTGCATGAAATTCGGCCAGCCTAAAGAAATGGAGCCCTTCACAAGCAAAGCCTTCTCAATGGGTGACTGACACATTCGTGTGCAGCCCCCCCCCCCCCCCCCGCTCCCTGCCTTCCACTGATTTCTTCACCTGGGAAAAGGACAGGGCATTTGAAGCCGTTCCTAGAGCCCTCCTGTGACTTGTTACATCGAGGAAAACACCTTCTCCTTCAAGCCACTTCGACATTAGGTCTCTCCTCCAGAGCTGAAAGCCTGCTAGTGGTTTTGTTCTGAATACTGAATTCTTCCTCTGGCCTTAGAACTCTATAATGTTTTAAGTTTGAGACGATCAAAGGTTCTTTTGGAGCTCCTTAATCCACTGGGGGTTGGGGGGGAACCTATACATTCAAATCCCTGGGTTCATATTTCATTTCTGAGGGTATCCAATAATATTTCATTTCTGAGGGTTCCCAAGATGCAACCGCTAGGGTTCGTGCTTTGGTGCTGAGGCAAAGATCCAAATTCCATGTGGCTTGAACAAGACAGGAATGTTTCTTTCGTATAACCAAAAAGCCAAAGGAGGAATCTAGGCTCTGCTTCTTCCCAGGCAGAATCCTACTGTCAGTCCAAGGGTCACTCAGGGAGACTTGAACCAAGGACAAGGCTCCCCCACCCCAAGGGAGGTCCTCTTAGTGGGAACCACCTTCCATGGAACTTGTAGCTGAGTGTTCCCGAGGCCTCCCTGAGCGGCACTGGCTGATGGATCCACTTCTCATGGTGCTCCGCTGTGAGGGGCAGGTAGTCTAGAAGTGAAATCCTGCAGAGAAGTGTTGGAGTAACCACTTACTTACCGTTTAGATAAGCCACAGTGTGTTCCTTTTAAAAAACAAAGCAAGCCAAGGTTCTCAGTGGAGGTGGCGGTGGAGAAGTAGGAAATTCCATGGCGATATTTAGACTAGACCTGGTCTACTTTCCAGTTAGCTTGCTTCTGTGAACCTGCCACTAAACCCCACTCCCGACAGTAACACGTGTGCATGTGCAAACAAGCGCACACTCGAGCACACACCATTTTAAAACTCATAAATAACACTGCCAAGCCTATCAAAAGAAATCAGTTTTAAATTAGCATACTTTAAAATGCTTTCCACTAAAAATATGACCTCTACTTGTGTAGTAGCTAGCACTTGAGACATCAATTATTTAATGCTGTATAATGTCATATTACTATCACATTTAGTCTTCGGGACAATTTCGTAGACTATTTATCACTATTTTATCTATGATTGATATAACCCAAGCAAAGAAGGATTGAGAAAGTTCCTAGAGTTCTGGAGGCCTTGCTGCCAGAAAGAGACAGAAGTATAATTCGAATTTAAATCTAATTTATCCACAGCCTGGCCACTGCCCTGAGTACCATTGATTTTTCATTATTAGCAAATATTAAGTGATAAGAAAAGCTCAGATTCCTAACGATATCCATCTCTGGCAATCTCACTGTATTCTGTGTGTCTCTTTGCTGACAGTGCTGAGTGGCTTCACCAACCCCCCGAATTTAAGAGAAAAATGTTAGTAATGCCTGATACCTGTGCATGTGGAAATCTTGAGAACAGAGAAGTAAATGCCTATCCCATGCCTCTGCTGGTAGATTTCCTGGCTTTCCACTTGCACACAAAAAAATATGGACTGAACTTTAAGCCCCTCTGATGACACAATAAAAGAATGCAGATAGAACTTTCCATGGAGGTACTCACGGAAGCATCACCATTGCCCCTGACATTTTCATGCTACATGATAACACACACCTTAATCTGGAGGACGCAGCCCAAAAACACTCTTAAAATGAAAGATATATCTTTATTAGGTTATTTCTATCCATGGACCACCTCCAATAATCCTGATTCTTCACAAGCATTCTGGATTATCATTTATGCTAGCCCTATTAAATGGACAGTTAGAATAGTAAAGATAACGTGTGTCTACCCACCAAGCACTTGCTGGAGGCATAAAGGTTTTTAAATCTTCTTTTTCAAAAAGAAGACAAGATGTGTATAACAATGTATGACCCAATGTGATTAATTTGTTCAACTAATATTTACTAATGTGCTGAGCACTATTCTAAAATACGGCTAATGGAAACAAAGCTGGGGGCCCTGAGGCCCCAGTGTACCCATTCTAGTGAGAACCACAGATAGACAGTAATAGTAACTCTGTGTGTCTCACAGAGTGCAGAGACCAGAAGAGAGGTACAGAGAGGAAATGGGAGAGTGTCAAGGAAGGGCTCCCTGAAGAGAGACTTGATTTTTAAGAAATCTTACATTTAAAAAAAAGAAGGCGGCGGCAGCAATACAGGCCAAATATCCCTAATCTAAAAATTCAAATTGTGAGTCCCTCTAAAATCCAAAAACCTCTGGGCACTAACATAATACCACAGATGGGAATTCTACCCTGGCCTCATATGACACATTGCAGTAGAAACAGAAGCACAATAAAGATATTGTATAAAGTTAACTTGTAGGGGATGTGTACAGGATTCATGTCTGAAACAAATGGATTTTGTAGCTTATGTTGTGCCTCATCCCCCAAATATCAAATCCAAATTCAGCTCTGCTCCCAAGCATTTCTGGAAAGGTTAGGAACCTCCACTTTAAAACAAACAGTAATGCCCTACACAAGTGCCAGAGGAACCCAAGCAGAGCATTCTACACATAGGAATCCTTCAGCACATCTGGGTGGCTAAAGGTGGTGGCTTCTTCCTGTCTGTCAATGGCCATCTAGTAACATCTGCCATGGTGGATGACTGTCACTACAGTTTAAAAGGAGCATGAATCATTGGCATTCTGATAGAACGCTTAAATGGCAGCTTTCTGTGTGAGCTACATGGGAACGCAAGGGTTCATGTATGACTGGAACTTTCTGCTTCTTCACTTCAGGGAGAAAAAGGAGCTGTGGGAGAGCCTGGACCCAGAGGGCCCTATGGGCTGCCTGTGAGTTCACTATCACGTGACCGTCACCATCAGCATGCTACTGTGACCTGCTACTGACATGGTTAACCCTTCCCGAGTGGGCAGACTAATCTCATTTTAGGAGCACAGGCGACCTGATGAGTAGTCACAACACAGAGAATCCTACACGACAGATAGGTCATAGTCTCAACTGATCTCTGTACATGGAGACACACCCAAGCAGGTCATGGGACTGAAGATCAGAGACAAGGGGACAAACAGCACCAACTAGAAAGCCAAGTTCTGCCTGACAGATGGCACCTTCCATGCCATCTGCATGGACATCCATAACTGGCAGTCCCTTGAAGGCTCATCGGTGTCAATTGGATGTGAAAATTTCATTTATAATAACCTTCATTCCTTGTCTAGTCTCATAGATTGCAAAAAAAAAAAATTCTCTTGCAAGTGGAAATTATGATTCAAATTAAATTTCTATTCTATGATGACAGTGTTTATGACCTTTCTAAGTTCCTGAAAGGACAGATGATCTTCAGAACATAGAAGGTTGGCGGTGTTCTGTCTTCTAAAATTCTGAACTATGCAGAACCGAACTGAGGTCCCAGGTTTCTGTAGAAATGATCTGCACTGTGGTTCCAGTCCGTTGTGTAGAGGAGGACTCAAAGTAGCATGTGTTACATTTAGGTTTTTAACCTGCCTGTGCTTTCCATGGCTTTTTATGAACTCAGAAAACAAACTTCATTCACAATCATTTCAGTGCTCAACAAGATACTTGCCTTGAAATAGATGTCAAAGTGTACTAAGGAATGAGCGTAGCTGTTGGGAACTTTTGATGGAACATAGTCTGATCCAACATTACCACCATGCAGGGGTGAAGTTACCATCTTGTGTAAACAGTCTTAGACCAACCCTCTTGGGAATTCCTCTTCTACAAAGTTCACTGTAAAGCAGCTTTTGAAGTTGTTATGTTCACACTCCTTGTATTCAAGGTGATTGTCTAGTCAAATTCAAACTATATTTAATGATAAACAGTTTTTAGGTTCTCCATTAATTGAAAAGCTGAGTTCTCAAACTAAAGGAGCATTGATTTACATCTTCCATTAGTGTTGGTGTATTTTTTAACAACATTTTTTGTTTTGTTTTGCACTTCATTACTGAGCTGCTAAGTCAGACAGCAAGCATAGAATTTGAGCAAAACTACCTATTTAACCCAGTAAAGAGTTTAAATCCCTCATGCCCCATAACTTCAACTAACAGTCCCCTCAATTGATTTAAAGAAATATGACTAATCAAGAAGGCTTTTTCACAATTCTAGCATAGTCTTTCTAACACTAATGTTGCATGCCCAGAGCAGCCTTAAACAAGAACCTATTGATGAAACTTAGGAACACTAATGTAGCCACTGTGGTTCTTTGGCAGGGCAAAGATGGAGAGCCTGGTCTTGATGTAAGTAATCTGCACAGCAAACATCCTTCAATTGTAATGGATACAGTCAATGGTCTCCATCATCAGGGAATACCAAGAGTGCAGAATTTTTTCTGTGCATGTATTACACACACACACACACACACACACACACACACACACCATATATATATATATATATATATATATATGTATATAGTAGTATATATAAGTATTGTGCATATAGACAGCCATATAAAATATGCTAGTATTTGCATGAGATAAAGGAAAAATAATTTATGTAAATTAGTAATTGACACTGGATAGTGGTACTTCAAAATCTTTTCCTACATTAAGGATACTCAGCATCAACATGACCCAGTTATAGAAAAAATAACTATGTATCCAATCAGTCTGCCTCTCATGTGTGCCCTTGGGGAATGGTGTTTTGTCAAAGCTATTATAATGTTCTTTTTCTTTTTCCATTAAGTCTCTATGTACATTTTCTCTTGTGCTAAAATATTATATAAAAATACAGACTGTCAAAAGTAAATGCCTGTAGGAACTGTCGCAGCTTGTCAGTATTGTGTGAGTGATGAAGTTACAATAGTTGCTGTTTATTGAGCACCTGTTATGTGCAAGCATCATTCTGGCACTTGGCATCCACCATCTCATTTAACATCCACAACAGCTGTGTGATAGTCATTAACCTTATTGTATAGTCAGGGGACTAAAGGGCAGAGGTAAGTGATTTGGCCAAACCCACACACATTAGTCAATGTGCCAGGATTCAAATTAATATTCTTGTGCTCTTTCTCCTGCATTTTCTTAGGAGAAATAAAGCAAGAAACTTGTTGTGCATAGCTTATCGAAATGGTAGACAGTACTATTTCTAAGGGCTACTGTTCTTTGTGAGTTTAAAGATTGACGTGTCCATTATTATATGTGAGTCAGACCAATGAACTGTGGTGGTTGTTAATTTTACCACAGTTACACCAATAGATAACTGGAGTTTGCTTTTTATCCCGTAGGGCTTCCCTGGTCCTCGAGGCGAGAAGGGTGACCTGGGAGAAAAGGGAGAAAAGGTGACGTCTCCCAGCATGCACCTTGTGTGTTTCTGCTAACACTGCTCTGCTGCTGCACCTGTGCGATTCCATCATTCCCCTTTCCTGTCTCTGCCCTGTGTCCCAAAAACATACAGACGGCTCATCTAAGGAATCGGGTCTTCAGAGAGGACTGTCCAAGGCTACACAGCTAGAAATGAGGGTACCATCCAGCACAGGAGGGAGATTCCAGCCCCTAGATATCAAAGCTACAGTCTTTCAACTTCCTGACACCAATTTTTTTAAATGTCATGTCCAGGGGCTGGGGGGATTATAAATTTTTTTCACAAAAGTAAAATCACATCACATAAACCTCAATGGTATTTTGGCAAAGCCTATCTCACCCGAAGGCCCGGATCTCATTTATCTTTATGACATTCCTAAGAGAGAGACTGATACATGGTACATTTTGATTTTTTAAATTCAGAGGTAGAAGAGACACATTGTGAAAGAGAGACCACAGTATGCCCGCTGTGCAGAGGCAAGCCAATAGTTGTAGGCTTTTCAATGAAGACATTGGTGATGGCTTAATATTGAGGATTCCTCTGGACCATCAGTCAACTTCATAGGCTATAGGGGTCAATATCAAGCAACATGATTTTATGACTAAAAGAAAAGTTTGGATTGTAAATTTTAAACATCACTTTCTCCATTTCTCTTTAATTCTGTCCTGTCTTGTCTTCTCTCTAGTTTGCTATAGTCTTTAATCCATTAGCAAATCAAGTAAGTTTTTATATTGGGTGAAACAAAAGGCAACAAAAAGTCAATAATGAAAACATTCAAATAGTTGAATATCTCCTGATTCCAGTTTAAACCAGTTCTCCTCCTTAGATTAATTCATGCCCTGATAGAGTTAACAATACATTGTTTTTAAAACCCAGTGAATGCTCTTGAACAGTGAAACTCTTCCCTGTTATGATACAAGACCAAAGGGGGTATGCCAAAGAAGGGGTATGAAGCCCGCTGGATATGTCTTAAGAATTAAGTTACTCAGCCTCTCATGGGTAAGAGCCCACACAGTGGTCATCCCAAAGCACCACCATCCCAAAGCACAGCATCACATATGCCGAGTACCTGTGCATTCCTTTCCCCAAGAGCTTTACACAAGATAAACCTTGACATCTTCACACCACCATGCTGAGGTAGGCGCTATCATTTCCTCACTTCACAAACAGGGAAAAGTATATTCTAAAAAGTTCTTTTCCACACTGTAAATCCTGACTACAAATTTTATGTGGTCTGAGATAAGTTTTGTGCAAGAGCATTCAACACAAGACAAACTGTCTTGAAGGCCATGGTCACTTATTTTATATTGACCCAGTAGGTTGTATGAATCTAAAATCTTAAGAAAAAAATAACATGTGGTACTCAATTTTATGATCTTTAAAGAAGTTAGAAATTACTCATTTGGCTCAGTGGTAAAGTCCTTATCCAGCATACGCACGGCCCTGAGTTCATTCCCCAACATTCAAAGAGGAGAAGGGGGGGGGGGAGAGAAGAGAAATTCCCATCAGCGTAGCTTATAAAAACACAAACTTTCAAACTCACCCTCATAAAAATGTTAATCCCCCATATGAAAATATTTCCATCATTAGAAGATGTATATTCAGGAAAATTAGATTCTCGGTGTTGAACACTTTGTGTATCTTTTTTTTCTTTTTCTTTCTTTCTTTTTTTTTTTTTTTGTTTTTTTGTTTGTTTGTTTGTTTTGTTTTGTTTTTCGAGACAGGGTTTCTCTGTGTAGTTTTGGTGCCTGTCCTGGATCTCACTCTGTAGACCAGGCTGGCCTAGAACTCACAGAGATCTGCCTGCCTCTGCCTCCTGAGTGCTGGGATTAAAGGTGTACGCCACCACTGCCTGGCCTTTTTCTTTGATATAATAAAAATTGACAATAATTATCAATTTCAACTGCTCATACACTCAATGAGAGATAGGTAACTTTGTGGTACACAGATAATCACTTTATTTCACAGCATGATATTGATTAATAACATTGACATATTATTCTTTTAATGTCCCTTTTCCATAAAGCTTGCTGTTCACTAAAATTTTAACAACAACAACAAAATTGCCTACCACAGAATTTGAGTAGTTAATCTTAAACCCATTGGCCAATCAAATAATGAATTCCACTTAACAACCAACACGCTTGGCCTCAGTTAGACCTACTCAAAGATGAGTCATGGCTACATGGAAGACAGAGCACACACACACACCCAAAAAAAGTTTCAGTTTATGTCATGGCGTGGAAGCTACTTGGTACGGGAGGGTGTTGAGTCTCCATGAATGAGCGCTTACTTCTGAGTGCATCACCCACTTCTGCCAATCTGCTTTGTCTTCACCCTCCTGCCACATCTTTGTCTTCAATCATGCACAACTGAGCTACACAGAACTTCTTTCCCCTGTATTCAAGACGCCCAAGTGGTTTTGATTCCGAGCCTTCCGCCGCCGCCACAGTGTTTTTGGCACACAGGAGATGAACGAGGAGGAGCTTCGGCTCCTGCTGTCACCGTGAATGTTTCCATTTGAATGAGAGTCTCATACATGTCTGTGCTCTACATTGTTCTGTCTTTTCCCTCTGAATATTCATGCTGTTTGCTTCAAAGGCTGTTCAGTTTTATTGTAACTGCCATCCAGACTGCAGAGTGCATGTTCTCATTTACGTATGTATCTCTGTGTCGTCTTCTGCATTCTGCACAGCACCAGCTCCCTGTCCATAAGTCTGCAGATGTGTATGTTAATGCAGAACAGCTGGGGCGCATTCCTTCCTTCCCCTCCTTTTGCCTCCTTTCCTCAATCCCTCCATCCCCCATGATCCGTGCAGACGCCCCACAACCTTGATCTTGATTCCCAAATACTAATTTCCACAGCTCCGTTCCCACTGTGTAATTATCCTGCCTCCCTCATTTTAATGAGCCCATACTGCCTTTCCTACCTGCAGCACTGTGAGCTGGAAACTCATTTACCATTGTGAGCAACAGGCATGAGGTCAACCAGAGATGGAAGAAGACCGCCTAGGTTTCTAGATGTCGGTTTCTCCCGTTGGCACTGCTGCCGAGTATTAGCACCTGAAACTTTTATTTAACTCAATAAGTCGAGTATTCACTTTTATTTTTGCTGGGGAGAAAAAAGCAAAACACAGTAGAAGCACATTTTAATACCTACATATTTTTACTGAGAGCTGCAAAACAGAGTATGATTGGACATCCCCAGGAGAGACAGAAGCCGTTGCCTCTCCCTCTGAGTCTGTGCAGCCTTCACATGTTAAAGAACAGGACGGGAAAAGGCAAGGTGAAAGGTTCTCAATTGGGTGGAGTATCCATTACCCACCGCCAGCCCCACTGGCTACTGACTGCCTTCGGTACCGCTGATTACCCGCCATCTACACCAGGTCCACAGCACAAATCCCCAACTCACAACTGACTCCAGCATTGCGGCGGTCAGCACTGATCTGCCTCTCCGATGCATCAGCCCTTTTGGTCTCTCCCCCTTTCTTCTTGCTGAATGTCATTAATCAATTAATAATAATGAATCCTGCTGCCAGAATCTATTGTCCATGGCAGTATACTTTTTTTTTTAAATGGCATCATGTCTTCTCTACATCAGAACACAGTGGTAAATGCCCTTCCAGACTACTCTTAGCTAAGCCATATTGTGAATCATTTGTATTCTTCTACACCGCCCCCCCCCCAAAATAAAATCTGTCTTTTATTTAAACCCTTGTATTCACAGGGGGAAAAGGGAAAGAAAGGAAAAAAGGGGCCCAAGGGGGAGAAAGGAGAACAGGGCGCCCCTGGATTAGATGCACCCTGCCCGTTGGTATGTCTCACTTGTGCAACTGTCTCCAGATGTTTGGTGTGAGGGGTGCGATGGGAGAGGAGCAGGCCAGAGGGACCAGGAACAGCTGGTTACCAGGAGGGTCTTTTCACATGGGCCTGCAGACAGGTGCTCAGAAGTGTGTGCCCAGTCTACATGGATGTGCTTCACATCGGGGTGCTGGCCATTCGCTCAACCCTATTTCTGCACTCCACAGTGCTGACTGACTCGAGCCCACCCATAGGATGTGAGAAGAGCCAGCGCCATCCCATACCCCTCCAAAGAGGAGGCTATGGTCTCCTGACAAGGCCTTGTCCTGATAATGTGAAACTTCTCTGCACGTTACTGATCCTTCTAAATTGTTCCTCTCCCAGCTTTTCATCTAGTTGTTTCTTCAGCAGATTTTTGCTTTTGATGAATTCTTGGATTAGTAACATTATGAGTTAATCTTTACAAACAGGGATTCCGTGGCGTTAAGGGGGAAAAGGGGGAGCCAGGCCAGCCTGGCCTGGATGGGCTGGATGCCCCTTGCCAATTGGTACAGTATTTCTCTTTCCTACCATCCTGCATGCCATTCCTTTATTATGTATTTGTCTGTATCAGTGTAAAGGGCTTCTTTCTGGAGCAAGCTTTACATGATAAACATACTACATGCATGTGCATGAGGAGGCTCCTCCCTGGGCTCTGCAGAGGGGAGAGAGCAAGCATGTGTCATCAACGAATGCAAATTAATCTTCTAACATTGTCCTCACTACTGACGTGTCCATCTCTATGTTCCTTGGAATGTTAATTTATCCAATAAATTTTCAGAGATTATCTATAAGGTAGATAAAAATACACGATGCAAACACACTGGTAGGCCAGAACTTTGGGTTTTTACCCTGCTTATTTTTTTTCCTTTCCTCTAAAAGAAATAATGGTATTTTTCTCTCTCACGTTACAGTTTTATCAGGCCATTAATAAGGTCAAATCTACATAATGAAGCTTCTATGGTCAAGAGTTAACCAATTCGAAGCAACATTATTAAGAGACCATAGGAAAGAAAACAATTGCCCTGCACATCTAAAGATGATGGTTGTCTGCAGCCCAAACCCTGTTCTCTGTCACATAACCTTTTCGACGACGTCATGGTCTCTCCTTTGAAAACTCACTTTCCTAAAGTAGACGGAACTCCCTCCTCCATTGGCATGAACTCAAAATCCTCCTTATAACTAAAATCTAAAATTCTACTGGCTGATCCTTTTCCTTGTACCAATCTGGCATTACCAATTTCTCCCAAATATGTTACAAAGCTAGATTTTTTTTGTTACAATTAAAAGGGTAGTGTGATTATATTTTGTGGAGTATAAAGAAAGCTTTTTATTATCATGTTCCACTGGTCTGCATGGCCTTACATGATTCTTCAGTTATAAGCATGATTCTTTAAAGGTAAATGTAGATTTTGTGAGTCTTTTAAGAGATTATGTGTATAGAAAAATATTCAGTCAATTGTTATAGTTTATGGAGTATTCTGTCTTTTGTTTGCTTGCTGTTGATAAGTCACATTTTATAAACCCTTCATTGGAGGAAAATGCATGCCTTCGACTGTGTCACATCTTCCGGTCTCATTTGTATCTGAAGATGCTTATATCTTAAAATATATTTTGTAGTATTTAGAAACCTCCATTCGGAATGTTAACCAATACTGAAGATTTAAACAAAAGTGCTGGTAAACACTATGGATGACATTTACTATGATATGCAGATAGACTGCCATGTTGCCAATGAGTACGTTTTGTGATATCCACTTACAGTATAAGAAAGTGGAAAACACTGGCATATGGAAAGCTATAAACTTCAGATAGAAATGCTTTGCCATTGATTACCATTGCCACAAACCATAATGACCACAAGGAAATGAAACTCTGATTCATTTAGCAAAGATAAGTGTGAGATGTTTTAATGATATTAAGAGGTACCATGCACTGTGCAGATGTATTATCTAAAGATGTGCCTGTGAGCAGAGCACTAGGCAACTATGCTTTGTAAATTTCATTTTCAAAATTAGACATAGTTTTTCTGTATTCACGTATATATTTTTCAGATGTGTGCTCAGTCTGGAAAACATTTGAATTACCTTCATTCTAACTAACAGTAGGCAAAATATCATGAGCCACCACTTAGTGTAAGACGTCTATGACTGAAGCCACCTAATAGAAATAATTTTAGAAGTCTCTGAGCTTGTCAACTTAATCTGATTACTTATGAGGAGCCTGAGGAATTCTTTTTCTTCCTTTCAAAACCAGGGACCTGATGGATTACCCATGCCTGGCTGCTGGCAAAAGGTAGGCCTTATGGCTTTTTGTTTGTTTGTTTGTTTGTTTGTTTGTTTTTCTGAAAAGAAACACTAATTTTGACCAGGCCCTTTCCACTGCAGAACAGACCTTTTACATTTGACCTTCTTGAAAACTCTTTGGGTATTTCAAAGCAAATATGCAAGCTCTAGGCAATCTTTAGATGAATGTGTTTATTACTAATTTCTTCCCAAACCAATGAGCAAAAACAGTTGTTGACAAATTATAATCTGGAACCTCAAAGTCATTGTTTGTGATGGAAAGGCACAATATATCTGTTAAGATTGTTTGGCTCTCGGACGGTGGTGGTGCATGTCTTTAATCCCAGCACTTGGGAGACAGAGCCAGGCCGATCTCTGTGAGTTCAAAGCCAGCCTGGTCTACAAAGCAAGATCCAGGACAGGCACCAAAAACTACACAGAGAAACCTTGTCTTGAAAAAACCAAAAAAAAAAAATTGTTTGGCTCTCTGTCAATGAACTCTTTCCTTCTCTTATTTAAAAATTATTTTTAATTGTGATTTTCCCTGTATATCAGTTGTATTGAAAATAAGATATATGGTAGAACCCTGTCAGTACTAGCCACACAACTGAGAAAGCAGAAAATACAAACATAACATAGATCAGTAATATCTTGATTTATTTAGTAGTGTCTGCCTGAGTTTATACTGGCATCTTTTATATCGGTTTGTTCAACCCACAGTCACTGGGAATCATCAGTACAGATGGCTCTACCCAGAACACCTTCTGTGCACAAAGGCTGTATGTCATGTCCTGTCATACAGGGGTATTGTTTCAGTTAATTCCATACAGTAACCTACACAGGAGTAACATAAACTTGGAAACGTGAAGAAACCTCTAAGAACAGCAAGGTGGTAGCTACCAGAGCTAGGAAGGAGAAACAGCAGGAAGTAATGGTAGCGTTTCCAGCAGGCAGATGGAGCTCTGTGCATTCTGTACTGCCCAAGGAGTGCAGACTCTACATTGTAACGCTGTAAGCCCAGTGTGCAGGTTACCAGAGGGCAGAGGAATGCCTAGAAATGGCAATGTGATAAGGGAAGCATCCAGGTTGCTTTGATAGTTTTGAAATGTTATCTCCAATGCTTTGTAGCTTATCCAGTAATTGTAGACAGCCACACTTCATTGGCAAAATCAGAACAAACTATGTAAGCCAGAGTGTGGAAACATGAGGAGACATTGGGTCTTGGTGGTTTCTCAAGTCAGCAACTCAACCATCAGGAAATCCTATGTAATTTGCTTTCTCAACTAACTTTAGCCACTTAGCTAGGGACAGAAAAGCCTTCTCTCATAACAGCATCATTTATTTATTAGCTTCCCAAGCTCCCCTTTGAGCCTATCAGATAATTAGCTCAGTTGCATCTGAGGTCAAGAGGGTCCCTGGATGCAGACACCTTCATCAGATTCTTCCTCACCTGGAAGGGCCAGCCTCTTGCCAGCTTCTCTGCCATGCACAGACATTGTTAACACCAGCTTGTGCAGGGATGGGCATTGGCTCTCTAACCTCTCCCTTATAATTCAATAAGATGATCATTTTTTTTTAAGCTAGTTATCAGCACACTGCATCTACAGATGCTAACAGTTCATTTCCCCCACACTGTGACACCATGAAGAACTCAAAATCACTTTTGGTCTGGAGTACTTCTAAATCATCTTCCTCTTCATAAAGACAGATAGGTAATGCCAACAAGCAAAAGGCTGTTTGTCTTGTTAGCCCCTGAAATGAAAAACCTGGTAGGAATACAGATAGTGTGATAGAATCAGAATTGTCCATATAAATATTCTGCTTTCTATGAAACAGATACTCTATTCTACATAAGATTAAGAATCTAGTGAATCTAGCCCCTTCTACAAAGAAAAATAACCCAATTATAACACTTTGGTATTGCTTAGTATCTCCACACAGCACATATGAACTCCAACATCTCCCCTCCCCCAATATAAATGAAATAATTAGAAAAATGAAATTTTCTCAGATTTTTTTAGATAGCCAATTTAGATATCTCAAATATTCAAGTAATTTTTTATTGATACGTTATAAATAAAGCCCATAGGTGGCTTCTGGTTAGTCGTATTTTATTTAGACTAGCCAGTGTAAACATTTTTTATGGAATTTAAATGTTTTATTGGCATATACTAATTATACATAATGGGTCCATTATGACATTTTCATACATGTATAGAATGTATTTGATCATATTCATCCACCCATTACCTTCTGCTGTCTCTCCTCTGCTCCCACTGAGTTCCTTTCCAACTAGTCCCGCTGCTATTTTGATGGTCTAATGAATTTCATTAGGTTGCTTAGGGAAGCATAGATACAGGCTTATTCACAGGAGTGTAGACACCTTAGTAGTAGTTAGACTGTTGAAGAAAATGTCTATCCATGCACCACTAACGACGTGTAGGTCCTCCATGCTAGGGTATTGACAAGTGCATTCTTACGCAGTTTTTCTTGGAAAAGGAAAAAAAAAAAAGGTGTTAATGAAATCATTGAAAGGGGACTCTGGACTAGTTACCTGTGGGGGATGGGCCAGAAGTATCCATTAGCTCGCTCTCCTCTGCATTTCACTTTTCTCGTTGATTTTTCTTTGAATAAAACTAAAGGAAGCACCAGACATGGTGGCACATGCCTTTAGTCCCAGCACCCAGAAGGCAGGCAGAGCTCTGTGAGTTTGAGGCCCGCCAGAGCTACACAGTGAAACCCTGTCTCAAAGAAAAACAAAACAAACCCAAGTCCTAAAAGCAGTCTCTATGATCTGCTCTATGACCTAACAACACAGTGAAAACTGCTTCTTAGTTTCAGAGTTAATGGCAATTCTGGAAAGACATTCAGGACAGTGGCTCTTCTAAATGAGGAACCAAAGATTTGGGAGAGATGATTTTTTTTTTCCACATGGAACTGTCACACTGCATGAGAACTAATAGTGGGAGGTTTACCATGCCGGGCTGCTTCCTGGGCAGGGCTGGTCACAGGGAAAAAGAACTAGGAAATGCATACGCATTGTATACAGGAAGGTGTTGGTCTGCTGCCTTTGAGCTTAGACCCTTGGCCATTATTAGGTTGTGTTGCAATGCCTGCAGACATCGTGTGTAGTGGTGATAGTATACCTGTAACAAAAAACACAGTTTTCTGCTTTCCCAGCACAGTGACTAAGACAATCACTTATAAAGCTCCTCATTGGCAATGGGAAAATGTGGGTTGGAACTAAGATGAGAATTATGCTAAACCGGATGTGATACAGGAAACATCAGATGATCAAATGAGCTTGCTGACTTGAAAAAGAAAAGACTACAGGGTTCTCCCAGTGTTTGTAAAATAACTGCTAATTTGGAATTGTTATCAAAGAACCACTAACTCTGCGTGTGTCCTTCTGTTGTCTGTTTTTCTGCAGTGATGAATCTAACCTTCCAAGCATGAAGTTGTGTATATAACGGTCCACCGTTTATATTTATAGTTGAAAAACTGAGTTGCAGATTTTGCAAGTGTGGAATCTGCTCCCCTGGCACTGCTTTCTCCCTGTTCACAGTAGTGCAGACGTCCATCTTTTCTCACATCTGAGGTTAGGCAGTTTACAGAAGGAAATATAGACCGGTGTCTCTATTTTATGTGAACATATGTATTTATATGGACATCAGTGATAAAGGAACGATCGCTCTCGCTATTTTCTTATTCGGGGCCTGTTAATTGCATGGACAAAGAGTGCCATGGAATAGTTTACATGAAACTGTGACCAAATACGGACTCAAAGCGATGAACACGTAGCGCACATTCCCAGTAGCATTCATTCATTCACGCCCACACCACCTACTGAAACTGACTAAAAACAGCATGACCGTGTGCCAGCCCTGCCTGTATAAACGCAGATGCTTGCATGCTGCCTCCTGAGTTCTTTGACGACATCTGAGCTTTTGTCCCTTTGTCATCCCAAGGGGGTTACACCGTGGCTAATCGCCAAAAAGAGATAAGTTGATGGAGAGCACCCACACAGTTGGTCTTATATTTTGAGGGAGTTGCAGTCCCGACTGCAGATCCACAGCTCCTAATAAAGCGGGCTCCTGTGACCGCCTTGGTTGAAATACCAAAGGGTGGAGCCGATGACTACCGCTCGTTTTCCTTGGGCTGCGCTTGGCAGTGAAGACCGGAAGAGGACCGGTTCTACATCCTGCCCTGTCTTTCGTGTGACCAAGTTGGAAGGAGGTTTATAACCACGAACACCCAGAACAGCAGAAATTGTTTTTCTAGATGAACTGACTTCCCACAGGTGTTGATCTCGGTGCTTTGGGGAAATGTCAGAGGTAATGCAGCAGTGTTCTGGAGACTGCGGAGCCTTGGAATGGAAGTCCCCATTTGTGCAGATTGAAAGGTGCGGACATCCCATCAGAGCTCAGGTTGCTGAAGAGAGACCGTGTCCCAAGAAGGGATCAGACAGAATAAGTTGTGCTGCAGATGCTGGGGAGTTCCTGGTGCTCACTCTACCAAAGGTGGCCAGAAAGCATCCCTCTCTCCCTCCCTTCTGGGGTTGACCCATACCAAATGTTTTTCTACAAGATCTAGAAACAAGATGTAGTTTCCATTCTTTCTCATACTTTTTCTTTTCCTAGTACAGGAACAGAAAATATTTGCTTCAGTTTGGGTCTCATAGTTTTTAAAGAACATTTTTTAAGAAAAGTTTTCAAATCGTAGTAATTTGAATCCAATAGTAAAAATAACCTTTTAACATCTCCTTTTTGTTTGTTTGTTTGTTTGTTTGAGATAATTGAAGAGATTATAGGGAGGCTTCATTTTTTACTTAATCATTATAAAGTATGAAGATTAAGCATTTTTTCACTACTTTTTGATTTACATTGACAAAATTTACCTGTCAGTTATTGTAAGAGTCAGGATTTTATCACATTTAATAGCATGAACTTGCTTCTTGTAAGTTTTTTCTGTATTGAAGTTTATTTCTCAAGTTTTGTTTTTACATTTCTAAGTGTTTGTCTTATACACAGACCAAATTTGAGATCTCAGAAAGCCCTGAAATATAGTTGCTAGAAAAAGGGTCTTGCTTTTACCAACTTGCTCAAAACCTACCTACGCAGACTTAGACTTGCTCTTTGCCGAGTCTGTGGCGTGTTTTGAAATGACTTATTCTAAGTGGAAGGGTTTCCTGGGAAGAGCACCATCCGTGGGAGTAGTGATCGTAGCAGCTCCTTAGAGAATTTCATTTCCCTCAGTGATTAAATGTCATTTTTGTGGGAACATTTCTAGTTTGGTGTTTGGATTTTCAACCCCACAGGGAAAATTAGTTCCTGCTTAGGATTACAACAATGAAGATACCATTTCAAAACAGACCTTAAGATGTCTTTCATAGCATGTAAGCAAATGCTCAATCATACAAAATGATGTCATCTTTTTTCTTTATGTCATTTCTGAGGTTAGAATTTAAATGTTAAGTCAGACTATCTGGTAACATTTCTAATAACATTCCACACTCCTAAGCCTATTGAGCATTTTTTTTTTTTTTGGTGGAGAATATCTTCTAACAAGTTCTTGTATGATGTGGTTAGGGTAAGGTATTTCTCAATATATGAAACAATTCGTCTTAAATCATTTGGGGCACAAAAATGAGCCCAAGATTACACATTATTTTCAGGAATAAGACAAAGCAACTATAGACAATCTGGTGACTATATTTCCTCCTACCTTCGTTTCTGTTTCTCCATTAGAAGGAGATATTGAGAGGGATTCAAATGAGACTAGCTCACAACAAAGACAGCATTGGACATACCCTGGAAAGGACACTGCCCGGACTGTGTGTGCACTGGGGTGTTGCTCATAAGACACATTTAAAGGACGTGTAAGCTTCTATTTCGTGTACTTCCTTGGAACAGACAGCGGGACACCGAGAGTCCTCTGCACTCCGTGGATTGCTAGGTTAACCACCATAGGTTAACCTGAAACTTTGGACTATTTGAAACATCTTTATCATTTATTATGTCATCAAACTGAATAATTTCCAAAGGAATCAATAATGGATTATCATTGTTGATACATATATTTATAGATAGCATTCTTTTTCATAAAGAGTTCTTTAGTAGAATTAAGAAGAATTAAGGTATGGAACACCCACTGGAAATAGTTCAAGGTCAGGTTTTACCGCAGAGACAACAGATGTCTCTGAGATGCCATTGTTATGTTGTCAATTTACATTGTTCTCCATTAACGTTGTTTGCTGCTGGTCATCGCCTTCCTTTTTATCTTTATGGATAGTGGACCTCTACTGTGGGCAATTTCATTTCTCTGTTTAATGGCATTCCTAAGCTGTTAGTGTATGATTTTATTTTGAAGTTCATGAATCCGTTGTAAATACAGTTCAATAACTAGCCTTTCCTTGTGTAAAACAGCGTTATGTGGTCCCCTTATTCTGTATTCATTTTATATACCATATACCTTTATCAGTCTCCATTTACCTTCTCTTTTGAGGTCACTCACCTTCCAGCTTGCATACTGTAAGCTTGACACAACCAGTGTTAGAGAAATCTGCGCATGCCATGCGGGGTGCCTGGTTAACTATGCCTGACTCCCTCCCCTGGCTTTCCTTCTCCATTATCAACTGCAGCCTTGGAGGGTTTTCCACCTTTATCCTGTTATTTTACGGAGAATATTGGAATGTCTCTCACTCCTACCAATAGGAAGTTCTTGGTTTGGGCTTTCCACTCTGTGCATATGATGTGTTAGTGGGGCAGTTTACATACATGCACTTTGTGTGTGTATCTGCCAGCTTAAGGAAATGGTCAGATCACCATTCTGTACCTACGGGGAAATTGTCCTTGGTTTTTTTGGCACTTATGAAATGTGCCTAATTTCCAAGTATTTAACACAAAAAATAACATTTTAATCCCTCTCCCACTGCATTTGTCTGGTAGTTCAGCGTCTTCTCGAAAGAGGTCATGAGAAACTTGGACGCAGACATCTGAAACCTCCATTTCCTTCCTTTCTTGATATTCAGGTTATTTTCGTGTTTAATGCTACCAAAAACATAGAATTTAATCATTTTTACCAAAAAAAAAAATCCCTGTTATCTTAAGGTTCACTGGAGCCTTATCATTCCAAAAATGCTAAAAATGACCAGCTGTGATACTGGTGATTGACAGGTCTGACCAGTTATAAATCTGCCAAGCTGTGTTAGGATATAAAGGCCCTCCACCCTCCTTCTGTCCTCTTTGCACATCTGCTCGCTCAGAGACACTCCTCTAACGTAGATTGCTCATGAATTTATTTAGGGTTTTTGTTACTTCTATGGTAACAAACATTTTAATGGCTTCTTTTTTCACCAAAATACATTTACATGTATAGATTGCCTGCTCTGCTTATGGGCAGGACGTTTTGGAGACAGGAGGATGGACCTTGTTATGCTTGATTTCTTGACAACAAAGAAAACACCAACATTTCTCCAAATAAATCCTATTCTCACCTATCACAGAAATACTAATAAGTCGGGTTCACAAAGAACGTCTCAGGTGCTGTTGGCATTTGCGTGGATGTTCTTCATAGTGTTGTAAATGTTTCATTAAGGTGGACATTTTAAAAAGATGTATGTGATTTACCTTTGGGAAATATTATATTTTTATTTGTATTTTTTACATTTGAAAGTTCATCTCTATGTGCAGCTATTTTTATATTGCCAAAAACTCACATAAATGCATAGTGAGAGGGAAATGGAAAAAACGGCACGCACTGCCTTGTGGGTCTTTTATTTTTTTTAATGTTCCATGGGCTAAGCCACATGTACTTGGTTATTCTAATAATGTGTTGTATCTTTCCACTGTGTATATGGTGCCAACCTGATCGTCTCAGCAGTGTAAATATTTAAAAGATTGGACTTTCCTGTTTGATTTCTTATTTGAATTGTCGTTTTTTTCCAACTGCCATTATTGACTCAAAGGCCTGTGAAGGTTCTGATTTGCAATTTGGAGATAATTGCTTTGGGTTCATTTTCTAATTTGTTTCTAATTTACTTTTAAAACTTGTTTTCAGGGTTCCTAGTTTGTGAGAAGTTGATCTTCGGAATTATTTTTACACTATTTATGACTTATTTTCATAATGTAAAAAGTGTGTAATTATTACAATATTAACCCAAACAATGATAATGAGTTGTATTGTTATAAAGTTTTAATGATATTCCTGAAAACTTTGTCCCATTCTCCTTTATTTAGAAACAGTTGACAAATAATTTTATTCTACTTTTCTTCATTATTGCAACCCTGCCATTCATACCACACCCGTGTGTGTGTGTGTGTGTGTGTGTGTGTGTGTTTTTTTTTTTTTTTTTTTTTTTAATGTTTTCTGGGTCATGTAATAAAGCTTCCAAACTCGACTCCCACTCCAAAGCCACTTTGTTCTGGAATTCCCTATTTGCATGATATAATTCAACTCACACTGGGTTACCTCTTCCTCTCCCTCACCACAGTGGAGTGCAGTGCATAATTTCATTTCACACCGATGCACCACGTGACCGACAACTGGACGCCTGCGCAAGGCACCGGTGATCAGCAAATGCCGAAGCCCTTCCCGTACTCCTTTCTTGTTGCTGCCCTTCTCAACACTAAGTCCTCGTGCTCCTGTCCTCTCTGCTAGGTCTCCCTCCTCCTCCCTCACCCACTAGCAGCCCTCAGGGCTGTAATCCGCATCTCTTCAGGTGCTGCCCTGCCCAGAAATGGTCCTCTCTGGAGGCACTCATTCATTTCCAGGGGGAAGAGTGAGTCCACGCTTCCTAACTCCACACTGGCTTCCTGACCCGCTGACATGTAGCCACATCTGCCTGGACTCCCCATAAGAGCTCATTATATTCGCGTTCACCGCTGCTTTTCTTCCAGAATTACAAATCCTAGGAAACAGAGCCACCTTCTCCTGCCATCCAGACAAACTGGATGGACACCTCAGGCACTTAGGACACAGCCACTTCTCATAGCCGCCCCCCCCCTTCTGCTAATATGCAGGGCTTATCCATCCCATCGCCACACTTCGAGGTCGTAACTCCTAAGTCTCAGATCCACCCCTTCTCTCCATCTCCCCACCCCCTCCCATACACACGCTGACTCAGTCTAGACTATACTCAAACCTCTCCTGTCCTTTCCTAACAGACGTCCTGCAACTAATAACCCCATTCCCTTCTCTTCATACTCTCATCTGGAGGGTGATGTTTCAAAGACAGTAAAAAGAAAACTCAAAAGGTGTGCCACGTGAGATTTCTCATGAAGAACATTGCCTTTTAGAGGACGCCTACATCGTTGCAACTTCAGAACCTCGGGAGATGGGTCAACAGATAAGGATGCTAGCCACCAAGCCTGACAACCTGAGTTCAATCTCTGGAACCCTCATGGTGGAAGGAGAGATCCAATTCCAAAAAGTTGTCCTCTGACCTGCGCACGCGTGAACACACACACACACACACACACACACACACACACACACACACACCATCATATGCACTCACACATGCTAAATAAACAAATGTAAAAACAATTAAAATGACTGTAGTTTTGATACTGTTCCTCAGTAATCCCCAGGGGCATGCGTTAACACAACTTTATGGAGACAGCTCTGCAGGGAACTTGAACTGTACCCCCCCATCCCTTGCTTTAAACCCCCCAGGAGTCGCCCCTCTTGATGCAGACCTTTTGCTGTAGAACATAAAGCCCGCGTGATCACACGTGACTAGCTTTATATAACATCCTGTCCTGCAGGCCAGGAACACTTACCCAGAGGTTTTCCCATGGCAAACTGCTCAACAAATCTTCCACTGCTTTTGAGTCTGAAATAGTCCCTATTCCCATGCCCATGATCCAGCTGAAGAACACATGCTGTTCTTCCAAGACATGTGCATCAGCTTACTAAACATGCCTTCCTGCCAAGATGAGCTACTCCTGCGCCCCGGTCATGTCTTGTGCTTATCACTACTTAGCACATGGCAAGTTTTTGGTGACTACATGTTTGTCTCCTGCGCTGGACAGGGAAGGGGAAAACATGAACCCAAATCGATAAACGAATGACAGGGTTCAAAGTAACAAAAGTCACTGGATGCTATGAAGCTAATGTGCATAATAGTTAATCCACGTGGCTAATTCAGAGCATGCCTGGATGTGGCTCCTAAAACTAAAGGAAGATGTGGTATGACTGTTTCTAAGTCCAAGTACAAGCTGGGGGTAATATCACCAGCTTGGTGTACTGTCACCTACTAAGAAGCCAGAGAGAAGTATAAGTTTGCAGTTAAAGGCCGGGGGGGGGGGGGGGGTGAATTCTCTACCAACTGGGCTCCGTCCTCAGCCCTTACTCTCTTTAGAACCAAATCCCCGCACACCCATTACTTTAGTAGTGTTTGCAGTGACAAAAAGGTCTTACTCCAAATCCAGAAAGAGAAGCTCTGTACTTAAAGGCCCAGGGCATCATGGATCAGGAGCATGGGGTGGTTGCTGAGTGACTTAGAGCAGGCCATTGAGGCTTAGAACAAATTGGTTCTGGTGCAAGTGTCTATCTCTGTTCAGTGTGTGAGGGGTTACCACCCCATAAATACCACAGGCTGGGCATTCTAATCACCCTTCTCCCCATTAATTCTAGGCTGACTCTAGTGCTCACATTTTGGCATCCATCAGAATCACTGGAGACCTTGTGAAAATGGCTTAGTTTCTGATCCAGTAGGTCTGAAATTGGAGAGTTTACATTTTTCACAAGCTCCTAAGTGGTGGTGATGAACTTAACCCAAGGCCTCCCCTTGGAAGAACTGTGAGTCTGTCCTAGTTTGTGTCTTCAATGACCTCAGTAACTCGAAGTGTCCTAAGGCAAAGATGGTAGATTTTCTTTACTGAGAACCACTTCCAGATATGTTCTTGCCTTATCAGTGTTTTAATCTCCGAGACTATTCTTTGGCAACTCCCTCAGGTAGAAGCTGCTCACTCTCACACTGCATCTACATTCTTCAGGGGGGAAAAGCTGGTTGTCTGCCTTGCTCCTTATTTCCTCGTTTACACACAACTATCCATTCACAGACACAAAGACTTCGCTAAAGCAGATTCATCAACCAACAGAAACAGCCCTTATGATCCCCTCACCTCCTCAAGCCACACTTTTGAACCACGCTGCTATAGAAACCAGGCCTTCAGCACCTGAACCTTGGGGAAGACACTTCAGCTCCAAACTGTAACAAACACACTCCTTCCAGTTCTGAGATTGTGCAATTCCATCCATGACAGGTGACAATGAGAAATAATAGCAACTTGTTTCCCTAACAGTCGTATTTTTAAAATAATTTTCTATCAATTTTGTCTATGACCCAGGGGGTCATGACTCGGTAACAGACAGTACAACCAGAACTTTCCAAGTCTGAGAACGTGATCCCAGCACTGCAAATGACAGCTGTGCTAATGTGGATTTTCTGTGAGATGTTCAGGCAAGAAAATTTCTGAATTCTCATCAATTTCTTTAAAGTTAAGCTTTCCTTTCCCTTTTTTATATTATTTATAAATTACTTCTAGAATGCTCTCAAATGGTATTTGCAAAGTTTCTTGTCATCCAGCAGACTTTAATATCAAAAATCTAATCACTGGAATCCAATGGGTTGAGTTTGAATCTCTGTTCAGCCACTTACGAAGACAATGCATCTGACTTTGATGAGCTCCAATCTTTCAATTTATAGAATTTGAACGAAGAATTACCTTATTCAGGGTGGCACGTAAACACAGATATCAGTAAGTTAGCTCCAATAGGGGCTTAGTGCAGAAGAGGGTCACAGCACAAGCTCTCCACTCTCCTCTCTTTCCCTCTCCCCTTAAGACCGGGTCGCAGATAACCCAGGCTGGCCTTGAACTTGCTATATAATCAAGGATGACCTTGAATTTCTGATCCTACTGCCACCATCTCTCAGTGTTGGGGCTACAGGAATTGCACTACCACACCTGGTTTGTAAGGTGCTGGGGAATTGAACCGAGACCTTCACACATTCTAGGCAAGCCCTCTACCCACTGAGCTACAGCCTCAGCTCCTATTGCTATCTTTGAAACAAAACATAGCCTTCCTGGAGTTTCTGCAGTGAGCCAACGTCCTATTCTGTATTGAGAAAGAGAACCATGCATCATTAAAAGCTAAATGCTGGTCCGTGCATCTCACTGACTGGATCACTTCTCCAAGGGTATCCGAGCACGGTGTGTGAATGAGCTCAAGCACGGCCAGTGACATACAACCTCATGAGGAAGCAAGTTTGCTTCTGATAGCTCGAATTCAAACGTAAAGTCCCCACCTCCCAAGACACTTGACAAGCTTCATTGTATAAAACTGGTAAGCCACTGATAGGGGAAAGAGAGGCCTCCCAGGGATCAGAGATTCAGGGGAAAGCCATCAAGGACAGCTGTGCTGAGAACCACTGGAAGGCTGCCTCCCGCTGCATTTCACCCCAAATGTTTGCAGAGCTAGAGCCAAGCCCCAATCTCCAGAGTTTACTCTGGCAATCACACATGCTGGAACACTTTCAGAACTCCCAGCTTCATAGTGCCAGCATGATGATAGGCTGCACATTGTGCGATCAGCAAAGACTGAGATTCTTAACACTTAGAGATCATGAGCTTTTCTTGACTTGGTTGCTTATTGGTCAAGAGAACAGAATTTTGTCAACATGCAATGCAGGTCAACTCCTAAATTGTTTTCACAGAGTACTGCAAAACTCTCTGTAACTTCCTAGCAAGCTACTGTATGGTTGACCTCTCATAGTGCATGTGCAATTTGATTAAAGCAGAGCTAGCAGGGCTGCACAGGCATTAGGTAACTTACGGGCACCACACCACACCCACTACCCACAAAGGTAGTGCCTTGGGTTCATAAGCATCCAGCTTGTTTTCTCTAATACCGTTGATAGATTCCTAATGAAGCAAGAAAACCTGCTTGTTCTTTGAGGCTGGCGGCATGAATTTAAGTGATCCAGCAAATGAGCTGTGTCTACCTTACTTAGCTCTATACAGTGTAGCTACTGTATGACCAAACGCTCCCTAGTCGGTGCAGGTAATAGTCAGTGAAGGTTGCTGCCACACTCTGTACAAATACGATATAAAGGAATTCATGCAGGGTTAGGGAGATGGCTCCATGGTTAAGAACACTTGCTTCTCTTGCAGAAGGCCAGGTTTGGTTTGCAGTACCTCCAAGGGG